TATATAACAAATGTGTAAAAAAAAAAAAAAAAAAAAAAAACAAACAAACAAAAAAAAACCAAACAAACAAAAAAAAACCCACAAATTTTTTAGATGCATGTAAAAAGCTGGAGCAAATACCAGGCTTTCTTACTACTTGTCTCTGTGCCTTAATATTTATTTCCCCCTGCTCCAACTGCTTCTTGGTCCTGTACCTCACCTGTCTTTCCTGTGGTTGCTGGCCTTCTGGTGCTGGGATGGACAACTCAACTACTGCTGCTTCCCCCTTAAAATTTTAATACATCGATTGGTTTTGCTTTCTTTTCTTTAAGATCTACCATAGATAAACAGTACAGAAAGTATGGCTTTCTGTAGAGAAGTACAGCTTTACGTGTACCTAGAACACATATTGAGAGCTAAGACATGGTGCTGCATACAGTGGAGATTTCTGAATGGCTTGCAACGAGCCTTTCTGGGAGTTTAGCACTGACTGATTGTGACCGTCAGGGAGTAAACTACTTACAATCATAGTAAAAATGAGGTAGGTGGATGTTGTCCACAACAAGGGATACTCTTTAGACCTGTGCAAGGACTCTGCTGAAATATCTGGTGAACAGAAGCCTGTTCAAGAGAGGAATTTTCGTTTTACCTTTCCCCTGGCAGTGTGTCCGCTTTGTGTGTTGAAGGTAGATTTTTCACATGTCTACCTTCTAATCCAATTGCCTGCCCTGAATTTGATTGACACTAGTTATTTTGACAGCTATTCCTGGGGTCTTTTTAACAGCAATGATATCAATAGTAGCCTTAACAAACAAGTGAAAAAAAAATCACCACCTCTCTTTTACCTTCTTTATAAAAGCAAAAGATTTAATTTCTTTTGACACGGGCAGAGCAAAGCTTCCTACCTCCATCCACATTGCTAGCAAGAAGGAGACGATGCCTATTAGAGAAATTGGATTAAGTTGAGTAGATCCTGTTCCCAGAAATATCCTCACTCATTACAAGTCAATTCAGCAGGTTTGCATATGATGATTTTCAAGTCAGAACCTGAAACAAAGAACCCAGTGGTTTTCCATGTATCACGATTCAGGAGGCTTCTGTCATAACACTCAGCAATGGCTTTGCTTGATGCCTTCCTTTTTTATCAGTTGTCCTCTAGGTTATGCAAAAGAAAGCCATGAGAGTGCAGCATTGGGAGTTTTTGTGATCATCTGACTGAAAAGCATATGCCTGTGTAGTACTAGACTTCTATCTTGCAGCTGGTAGTAACAATTTTCGCTCTAAAAAGCAAGACATTCAGAATAGTTGCCTAGACAAAGTGAGTGGCACTTTTCAGGAAGAAAATTAATAGAATTTAGGATGAATGGTGGTGGTATAGTGTTACCAGTATGATGAAGGGGAAGAGCATACGTTTCAACAGTAGCTGTTTAGATGGGGACAGACATCCTGAAGGTTAAAGAAGGTAAATATGCCACGTTATCCTCCACTCTTACATACAAGTCCTTGTACTTCCTGCCTATTAAAGTAAGGGCCTACTGTTGTCACCTATAAAAGAAACTAAAGTTGGAAGAGTTTTTCCATGAGACCTGTTGCTAGCTGTTAGAATTTTTAAGTGCAAAACCAGGTGATGTTCTACCCCTACTACTCAGTCCTTTCACCTGTTAGGAAAATTTTAGGGCAGAGGTATCATGTCTCTTTTATTAAAATCTGTTCATGTCTATTGGCCTGTGTTGCCGTCCAGTCTGTGGCCACTCCACTGTTGGGATTTGGTGTAAATCAGCTTAATCAGTTTGCTTACTAGAACCTGTTTTCTCTCTAAACAGTAGAACGACTCCTAAGGTTTGCCTTCTTTCATTGTTCTTTTTCCTGTCCTGCATGGGACACAAGAAATTAGCATCCAAATATATGGGCAGGTGAAGGAGGTGGGATGCGTAAGGATGGACTGATCTGTCCCCACCCTCCGTCTGCAGCACATAAAATTAAGTCTCTTTTTCCAATCTGTGCGAGTTTAGAAACTAGAACCGAGTTATCTCAGCTATAAAAATTGTCTGAATTAAAGGAAACTTAAGGGATGGAATGTTATCCAAGTACTAGTAACTCACTATTGTGGCTCACAAAGACAAGTTTGCGTTACCAATTTCAATGAATCTATGGCTGTTACTACTTAAAAAAAAATTTTTTTTTTAGGTAAGCAAAAATTCATTTTTGCTTTCTATTATGTGTGTTTTGCTGTTAATCTGAAGCACAGGGTTTGTCATTTACCTGTGGGTGTGCATGTAGTGATTCCGCTTGACTCAAAATAGCTACGTTCTATGAAACCAAAAAATAGATATTTTTTGTGTGAATTGGAACTACACAGCTTTTCCTTGATTCTGTCCCTTTTACTGTAGGTTATGTAGCACAAAATCTTCAGGCTTTAATCTATCTTCAGGTGAAAAATCTGTTCATGACAAGTTATAAGCTGATTTTCAGTTAAGTTCTAGAAAGTATAAGGACTTTTTTCTTGTTCATCAGTTTTCTGAAATGGCATAGGCAAGCAAATATGTTTGCAGCATGAGTTTTGCTAACTGATTATGCTGATATCCGTTTTTTAAAAATGGTGTTGCAAAGGGTCAGGAGCTCTTAGTGAATTTGATGGAATTAAAGAAAAAACTTCAAGATGTTGATTACAGTTACTACATTTATGACTTCTGTAGGGAGTAGCAATTAAATTACACTGAATTTCCAAGATTATATTTGCAAATAGATATAAATGCTATTTTTCCTGTCTTCAGCCTGTAATATTTTTTAACATTTCTCTAAATACAGTACAAATCATATGCCAGTCAACAAAAACAAACAGCGTTTCTTCAAGTCTTGTTTACTGTAAAGGTTGTTAATCTGAGCTGCTTCGTGAGTCTAATCGCCATCTGGATTGTCTGGGAAAAACTTAACAACGAAATAGTACTGCGTATCCTTTGCTGCATTTCTGCACCTTTTTGTTTCCGATTTCTTCTTTCCTCTGTGATCCTTTCCCCGCCATTGGATTTCAGTGAGTAGGTTCTGTTACAGGCCTGAATCACAGCCCATCTTTTTATCTTTCTTTTCCGTACTTCTTTGCAGTCAGATTTAGTAAGTGAAAATGTCTATAGCGTCTCATATCTCTTATCAAACTGTATGTTTCTTCAACTCTAAAAAAGTGATTAGAGCCAGACTTTCATCCCACCTGGAAGTCTGTGGGCCACTGTGGCGCTGTTTCACGCCATTGCAATCTTCTCAGTTGTACCCAGAGTAGTTCAGCATGATGAGGTGTTCTCCTCTGGTTTGTGGCTATTTATGATGAATGAAGGTATCTTAGCACTTAAGGAGGACATGTTAAATGCTCCATGCTGTTTAAATGATAATTTAAAATTATTCTTACCTAAATCTCTTTTGCAGAGTTTCTTTAGGAGAGAGGGGGAGGTACATTAGTCTTCATCCTCTATGTGCATGTATCTTCTGAAGTGTTGCTTTCTGCTGTTTTTACAGTAGTTGTTTTCCAGGAAATGATCAAGAGATTGCAGTATCTTTATGTGTATACAAAACAATTTGAACACAAGCTGATGATACTGTTGTGGAATGTAAAGAATATAAAGTATTTGTTTTCTGTTTCGTTTTAAGTCCTACTTCCCATCTTCAGTTCTGCAGGTTTTTCTTGAAACAGGATATGCCTTTTCTCTCGTGTACAGTCAGTGTTATAGTTAGCTAGTTTTCTGTTAATTTTATATTAAACTCTTTGTTGAATTATTACATTGGCAAAACATTAAAACTGTTAAAAGTCTGGGCCCTGTCACAGCCTGGCCTTGTAATTTTGGTATTGTGTTCTACTGATCTCATACTGCAGAATGCTTAAATGCTTTCAAATTCTTTCAGCTAAGATGCAACCTGTTGGAGACACTAAGATCTTGCACAACTTGTCTTTCCATCCTTTTTTCTCCTGCATGTAGTGCAATTCTTCATTTTGAAAGAGAAGAATTCAGTGCAGGTTCTTCACCTACATTTATTAAAATCGTGTTTGTGATCATGGTGTAAATGTCAGTTGTTAATCTCACTTCAGACAATTCTGACATTTTTCACTTGTTTGTTTGTTTTCCTGAAACAATTCTAATGATCATGTTACTCACATAGAAATCAAATAGCTCAACTGAGGTGACAGAAAGTGTTCTTGATGTTTATTATCATTTGTGCTGGTTTTAATAAGCTAGTCATGAGAAAACTGTTTGGGGAAGGCAATACAGAGATCCTTTTCAGCTATTTTATTTTAGTGTATCTTTCACGGATTCGAAAGATAGTTATTTGTATTCTCTGCTTTAGGATATTTTTGCTATGTTCATAGGTTACGTTTCGTTTGCTATCGGATATCTGTTATTGCCTACCGCTTCAAATGAATGCTTCTTTGTGGGTGGTGATATTGCTTACTTCTCAGAAAAGCAAATCTGAAAAATAGGGACGATGGAACCTTGTCAGTTTTGTAGAAATTTGTAAATCCTCATTCAAGGGCAATTTGTTGAATAGAATAAAAGTATCTTCTGTAATTCAAGTTGCCTAAATTATGGATTATGTGTTGTGCTTGTAGATCATTAACTATGACAAAGAGAAAAATGCTGTTATGCTAACAGGGATTTGTGAGCTTTCATGGCCTATTACACCCTCACACCTGCTGGGCTGCTTGTTTTTAAACTGTCTTTTCAGACTTTTCTGGAAGATACTCTTTCTATAAACAAGCAGGTTGTACTAGGAATGCCAGCAAAATGTTTATTATGACTACTTGTTGACTTTTTAATACAGAAGTATCTTGGAAGTATAATGAACAACACTATTACTGTTACATAAAGCAAGTAGAATGAATAGATGTGACACGCTGTTTTCTTCTGTGCTTTTTTTTCTTGGAATGACTATTTAAGTTTTTGGATGTCGTCATATTCCCTCTCCCCTCCTACCCCAAATAAAAGTATCATGTATTTCCTGTGTTGATTTTTAGGCATTCAAAAGGGATGTTCTTGCTGATTCAAGACAACGTAGTTCTGTCCAGAACTCTACACTGGGGATAAGGACATGGGACTCCTCCTGCCGGCTTCCAGATGGTTCATTACAACTGACATCTTGGTTGACAACTGTGAAAAGGAACTTTGGATTATTTTATTTTATTTTTGTGGGAGACCACAATCCCCAAACTGTAGGACATATCAGGTACTAAATCAGATACTTGCTTAGACTTTCCCATAATGTTATTTGATTATTATTTGTTTTCTGTTAAGGACTTTAAGCATGCAGATCTTATTCTTTGTTTCTTTTAAGAGATGGAAAATTTTGGGATTTACATCTTGCACTGCGGCTGAGTAATGACAAGAAGCTGTATTTCTTAGTGAAAATTGAGGTGGCTCTGTTATAGCATTAATCATTAGAGTTATCTTTATATACTATTTTAAATTATTATTATTAATTATAATTACCAATAATGGTTTTTGTTATCCTAATTACCAAAGCTGTCTCTTTCTTTTTTATTGCTTTTGAGAGTGCTTAATTTTATTAAGACTAGTTTTGCTACATTTAGTAGGTAAGATAGTTCCTGCGTTCAGAACTTGTCCAGTTGTTACCTGACAACTAGGAAACTTAAGAGTTTTAATAAAATTTATGAATGTTTGCAAACTTGGTACATTATGATTGATCTACTTACTTTCAACCCTTTTAAAATAAATCTGCATGTAATTCTCATTTCCTTTCGAATGAGAAAAGCTTCCCTTGCTTCTGTTGGAAGCTAATTTGACTTGGAGTACCTGAATGCTCAGGTGTTCACTTTAAAATACAGAAGGGAAAATCTGCAAGTGTTATCCTATAGTGTAGCTCTTAGTTCTTGTTTGTATAGGTGTCTGTTATTATAAGCCTCTTGATGAAAGTGGTTAAAAAGAAAATGATCACTCTCTCCCTCTGATATAAGACAGGGAAAAAAAGTCGTAACAGGAGAGAGAATCCTTTTTGCAGTAAAATCATGTTTGTTTTGAGTAGCTGTTTAGGTATATAATTTTTAAAAAATAATTTAAAATTACTCAGTGATCCACTTTTTCTGTCCTAAAGGTTCCATATTTCTTGTAGAATTTTAAAATAACCTTTTCTGATGAGGATGTCTGATATTCTTACTGTAAAAGATGAAGCTGATACAATGAAGGGTTCAGAAGCTGAATTTAAAGATACAGACCCGGTTGAAAACTTTATAAAATCAGGAAGTCAGGAGCAAATTCAAGCAGAAAAGGATGAAAACTGTCCTGATAGCAAAAACAGTATGCCGGTAAGAAGCTTTTAACTTTATTTTCACTAGTATGTCATGATAAATTAATCTGTCTTGTTCTTCTCCCTTCCTCGTGATCCTCTTACACATTTCTTTGGTACAGATCAGGAAAACTTGATGGGTGTTAGGGAAGCAAGTAGGATGGTTATTGCTTCCTCTCTCCTCCTTTAACCCACTTCTCTGTTTATAGTCATTAAGTATGTGAGTCAGTAATTTTTAATCGCTTGAAGTAGATGAGCGATTTTCATAGGAACCAGACAATTGGTCCATATTTGAGTTTTCCTGAGTGCACATGTGAAGCTGAATCTTTTCCTGGTAGCAGAACAAGGGAAAAACTGGACACTCAAGCTGTCTTTTGCTGTTGCTGAATCCTGACTAAGTTTCAGAGACTGGGCTGTGTTAAGAATACATTATACAGTAATAGTGTGGTCTGATCACAACACTGCAATGTTGAGTGCTGCTTGTGTGAACAAAGCACTGCAGCACAGCTCAGCGTGTCTGCCTTGAGTAGAGGCGACCAATATAGGGCTCTTGCGTTATGCACGGCTCACAGGTGGCTCAGGTGTAACTTTTACAGCAGAGCTGTACAGCATAAGGCCAAAGTAATCGGATGGAGGTAATCCAAATCCCCAGATGTCAGAGGAATCAAGTCAGCAGAGCTCCTGAGGCCAGTAGGTCTGGGTCTTGCCCTTGCCACCAGCAGAAGGTCCAGCTTCTTTGTCCCTACATCAGCGGTGGAGTGAACTGGTGAGCTGTCATCCCATCCTGGCTGCTAGCCAGTACTGCCCGTGCCTTCCCTTTTCCTCCATTCTTCACTGTTTGACAGTTTTGATACGTGGTTTATTAGGTAGGAAAGCTTAGGCAGTCCTCATGCATATGCTGAAGAGCTGATGCCTATAAATGAATGGCCTTGGCAAGGTGGGAGATGTACCTATCAAGAGATTGTGGCATCAAATTTCAAGTGAGAAAGAGAGAAGGGAAATAGCATGAAAATATCTTTTGTTAAAGGAGAACACACCAATAAGGATGGGTTAAGAATTTATGGCAGCAGATTTAATACCTCTGAGGTTTAGTGCAGTTAGTGTCAATGCTCAAGAGTCCTCAAAGATGGGTCTCTCTCACATGGGACAAACTAGCTAACTCCTGGCTGAGGCTGCCGACTTGGTCACTGAAGACTGTGTCCTAGATGAGGTGAGGAGTCAAGGAAAGCAACTGAAATTTTCTGGCACAACCTAGAAAAGCAGGGCAAATTTCGAAGAGAAAACACAGGATCTTGTGTTTGGCAAACACTAGTTTTCTATAGGAATTTTGTGTCTGTGGGTTAGTAATAAACAATTTTCTGATAAAAATCGTGATTGCGATGTGGGATATGGCAGTATTCTCTTGTGGGTTGCAAAAACAGGACAGTAGCTTATTAGATTCATGTTATTGAGAATGGAGTAAAAGATTCTTTGGGGAGTAGTTTTGTTCAAGACTAACAATTCAGTATTCCACTGAGTGAAGTAAACTGTCTGCCATGTTAGATTGCTTCCAAATAAATCTTGTAGACCACTATAATAACAATACAGTTTTACACTTCAGTATCTGCTGGCTTTATTAAGGCTGGCATCAGTGAAAATAGATAATTTTATTGGAAAAATAAATCCTTAAAATGAAATACTTCTCCATAATATATGAGAAATAACTGCTACTGAAAAGCTGGTAGATGTTATAGCTGAGTGGTTTTTTTCTTTACTCAATGGAATATCCTGGTAGTAAGCCTTAAAAACTAATTCAAGGTTTGTTTATTTTCATACAGTTCAGTAACTTGGAAAAATCTCATTCACATGTTCTCATTCAACAAATCTCATTGAATAAATTGTAGTGTGGAAACTTGTGAGACTCGAGTGGTAAATCTGCCTTCCTGCAGCGGGTGTTGCTGTGTAGTCAGACCTAGTCGAGAGAAATGAATCTGTTGGTGCTGTCAGTGGCTGTGGGATTTGGCAGGGGTTGGTTGCTTAGTTTTGCTCTTACACAGGAGTAATAGCTGGTGGCTGAAATAATTATCCAGCACACGCACGATGACCTGAATAGCTGTGTCATGGAGGCTGTTTGATGGAGACAGCTTTACTGTTGTCTTCATTTGGTGTTGATGTGAGTGTTATGTCCAGGAGTCTCCCTCAGAATCAGAACATTTTACATGAGTGGTGTGACTAAAAACTGAGTTTGTAGGCTGAGGATGTTGTTTTCCAGAGTGGTAGGAAGGTGATTGATTACAAAGTGGAACCTTGATAACATAATCCCTTTGCAACAGTTGAAGTCAGGAAAGGTGAATGTCATTTGTACTGTGGTAGCTGCTAGTGCAAATATACATTGTATATTTGAGGGTTTTTCATTGAAAGCATGTCTTATGCTAAAATACGAAACAAGAATTTTGACCTTTCCATAGCAAACAAAACTTCTGGGAATGGTGGAGTAGTCAGCAAGCTTTTAATGAATGGATGATTAAATAGTTTGACCGGTGAAATTTCACCAGATGTACTACTTTTCATTAAGTGCAGATTGAATGTTACTGCAGTGGTACAAAAAAAAGAGCAAAGGATTTGCTGAGAAATGCTAGATAAGATTATCAGAAGTTTATTGGAATTTGTTGTGTTCTTTTGTTTACTAATTGAGTAATCAGAGGATGGGTTGAGGAGTGGGAGTTGTATAGGGTTTGGTTTTGGCTTTCCTAGCTAGTAGGGGTTTTGGCTTTCCTAGCTAGTAGCTAATTGCTTAAAAGATTTCACACCAAATGGCAAACTGAGCACAGTTATCACTTGATTCTAAGTTGCTGTTTAACTTCTTTACAGCCAAGTGAGGAATAGGCTATGATCTTTCGTCTCTCTAAACCTATCGTGGTTGAATTCAGGTGTGTTTCTGGATCTTGACAGTTCCAGAAACTGGTGATTATATTTTGAAATGTAACTTTGGCTCTAAATTCCAGATGATTTTGAGATATTGTGCATTAGTAACCTATTTGCTGTTGTGTGCATTGTTAGAGATATGATGTGAATGAGAAAACTGTCTTATTAGAGTACATGGCTAGCACTCCCAATTTCTTTAAGCAGTGCAAGAGTAGTATAATTGATATAGAGATTATTAGGGAAGATTTTTGAATTGTTGTATTTTGAAGTGACCATCATGCAACACTTAATTGGAACTGGAAATAAGAGGCACTCATGTGAAAAGTACTTTTACAGAAGAAATGTCAGTACTGTGCTAGTTCTTGTGATCAAAAAGATTTTAGTTCACCAGCCATTGCTGTCTCTGTCCTGTTAATCTTATCCAGATCAGGTGACAACATACTAATTCTGAATTAGCTAGAAAACGGGATCTGAAGTTTGCCTTTGTCACTGGGTGGTGGGACAGGCAATACTTCATCCACTATAAGCACTATTACAGAGTTAATGTGTTAGGAAATATTGACTAAAAACTAAATAAACAGCCTAGATTTGTCTTATAGGATAGTGCATTTTATTCACAATTAGGAAGATTTTTATTTTTCTAAAAAAAAATACCAACAGAAAAAACACAAAACCCACATTTGAAGTCTTCATAACAATTTACTTTGGTTTATGTATAATCCAGAAAAGGAGGTTTGTTCTTACTCTCCAATCCATGCATTATGGGGATTGAGAGGAAGAAAGTTAGTCTTACTGTCATCTCTGCACTGCAAAATAACCATTAATAAATAGACATAAGATCCTTGATGGGATGATGATTGCCAAGGCAGTAAAAGACTGAGAGAAAACAAGCTGCATGTCACTATGTATCAGGAAAAGCACTTGCAAGCTGTGGAGAGTAAAACTGAAATACCACCAACAAAAGAAACCTTGTGAAAGGATGGAGGCTGGTGCACAAATGCAGGAGTTGTATGCACCCACCATACGATATGGGCAAGGCAAATGTTGTATTAACTGAGTATCATTCTGTTTTGGATTTATGCTTATTAAGCAGATATTGCTGTCCATGGGAGGAATTAGATTAATTGTTTTACTTAGCAACTAGACATATCTCTTTCTACAAGTCTCTTCCCTCCTTACAAGCACAAACCTTTGTGTTCTCTCTGTTCCACAACTTGAGTTCTTTGAAGCCTTTCTTTCCCTCCTTCCCAGCTGTTCTGGTCTTGTCAGGATTTACCTGTCATTGTTTCCAAAATATGTGACTTAATACTATTTAATGGATAAATGATCAGGCAGATTCTGTTTGGTTACTTGTGAACTGTTGAAAATGTCTCTGTGTCCAATGGTGAACCTATTTTTCCATTGGTCATCCTCTACTGTGTCATGGAAAATTGATGTCACTACTCATGAATACAGGACAGCAAGTAACCATAGACCATACTGTTCTTTGTTTCAGAGCTATCTGTGATTGTTAGGACTAGCCCTTAAATGGATTTAAAACTGAGTCCTAATTTAGAAGAAAGGTGAAAAACTATGTCCTTAGAACTCTCTCTGTTCAGGTCTGTCATGTCATGCCTGTCCTCTGAAATGTCCAAATGGTGCTTCAGAAATACATATTGTACCTTCCCACAAAACTTTTCACACTTCCAAGTTTGCCATCTTGTGCCCGACCTGTTTTTATCCAACTCGTTTAGACAGAATAGTGATGATAGAGGAAGGCGTCTAACAGCTCCAGATCTTTACTGTGTATTTTATATACGTGATCTGTGGAGTTAATTAGGAAAAAACTAAAATAAACAAATACTCATACTGAAAGCCTGGATATATATGATCATTATATGTGTTTGGTAAATTCTATCTTAATTCCCTTTTTATTTGGTAGTTGGAAATGAAGCGTGCTATAGTTGGTCTTAAAAGTTGTATGTTTTGTGTTGGTTGTTTTTTTTAAAGACAAAACCCTAATTGTTATTTTCATTATGCAGTTGTTTGGAATACTTGCTTCTAAATGCTGTCTTGAAATCATGCCCGTAATGACTTTAAATGGGGTATACATTTATTTTTAATCTTGCTTTCATTAACACAGTGTTTTCTCAAGTCAGTAAAAGTCTTTGAGAGCTGCAAATATCAAGAAATTGCTCAATTTTCACTCACTAAGGATTACATATTCTAAAGTAGCTATAAATTGTTTTTCACAAATGGGAAACATAGAGATGCTCTGTAGGAGTGGAACTTTAGTAAATGCAGAGAAATTAGAACAGAAATGAAACTCACAGACCTGAAAAGAGAGAAAAAAGTGCATTAACAGCTACAACATGCATTGACTACCTATTGTCCTGGAATTCAGTGGAGATGTACTTATCCACAGTCGGTGTGCTTTTGCCTGAGGAAGGAATGGTGCCCAATTATCTTCAAGTTTTGTGCTTGCGGTTACTGTTGGTATCACAGGACTTTGACTTTTGTATTTCCAGGTGCAGACCTTACATCATGGGTCTTTTCTCACATTACTTGTCTCTGCAGTCCAGCCATACCAGTTTTATTCCAGTGCTGCTTACCTGTCAAATGTGTGGTGGTTTTTCCTCACAGTTACAGCTGGATGTGTGGGCTTATTTTTCAGGTTTTGACATCCTTGAAGTTATGCAGGAAAGCAAGGAATCCAAAGGATTGGTTTACAAGGCAGTTGTTTTTAGATAACAAGTCTTAATATGATGGGTGGGATGATACTTGTCTTGTGTAACTTGGAGGTTTGAGTCATTTCAGACGAGAGAATCTCCTTCCTACAGTGGCCCCCCAGCTCTCCCCAATGGTATTGGTATTGGTTTGATCCCTAAAAATTGTCAGGTGTTCATGAAACTGGGCACCATGATATTCAAATATCTTGGTTTAATACCCTGAATATCCTATATTGCTTTGATAGACTTATTCCTTCTAGGTTGCAAACACCTGTCTTTAAAAACCCAAATCTTTAAATGCAGTGGTGGTGTTTAATCCCGGCCGGCAGCTAAGCACCACGCAGCCACTCAGTCCCTCCTCGAGGGCAGGGGGGAGAAAATCAGATGAGTAAAAGTGAGAAAACTCATGGGGTGAGGTAAAGACAGGTTAACAGGTAAAGCAAAAGCTGCACACGCAAGCAAAGCAAATCAAGGAGTTCATTCACCACTTCCCATCGGCACGCAGGTGTTCAGCCATCTCCAGGAAAGCAGGGCTCCATCAGGCGTAATGGTTACTTGGGAAATGTCCGAGTGTCCCCCCCTTCCTCCTCCTTCCCCAGCTTTATATGCTTAGCATGACCTCGTATGCTATGGAATATCCCTTAGGTCAGTTGGGATCAGCTGTCTTGGCTATGCTCCTTCTCATCTTCTTTTGTACCTGGTAGAGCATGGGAAGCTGAAAGTCCTAGACTGCTTAGTAACAACTGAAAACATTGGGGTAGTATCAGTATTTTTCTCATACTAAATCCAAAAACATAGCACTGTACCAGCTACTGTGAAGAAAATTGACTCTATCCCAGCCAAAACCAGCACATGCAGCATAACTGACAGTGTCAGTTGGGTTGGCTTTCCAACCTGGAAACACAAGTGTAATTCTGCAAGCAAAATGGAAGATGAGATACAACACACACAAAACACTTAAAGGAATGTACCGCCAAACTTGTCCTATTGTGATTGACATCCAAAAACCACATTAATTTTAAACATTCTTACAAAGAATTCAGGTTTGATACTAGATCATTTCAATATCACAAATTTTGAGGCATTTGTTTCACTTTATCTAGCATGAACAAACATACGTAAGTTTTGATTGCAATGAGTTCCTGAGACTTTACTGAGGTAAGGTGAGGAGAAAATACGTGCTTCGTACGGATCTTAATTAAATTTGATTATGATATGGTTCCTGCTTCCCAGCAACAAGCTCTTCTTTGTTGTTTTTTTCTTTTTTTAAATCACTCTTAAAAATAATTGAAATATGTATGTCTTAACTAATTAGTGAGCAGTAACTTGTGTAAAGATTTGGTTAACAGTATTAGAAATTGTTTGGCTAGTTTAAAATGTCTTAAGTCCTGTGTAACTAAGTTGATCATCTCTCTCCCTGCCACCTTCTCCCACCCCTCTCAGCCCCCAGTGGTGGGTCTGGAGCGTTTGCTTCCATATACTCTCTTCAATTATACTGGCTTCAAAGCTTCCAAAGTTCTGCAAAAGGTAAACAATTGCCCAAGTGTAGATTCTTTGCCTCTTGTTTTGGCAGTGAACTCAGTACTCCACTGGTAGTGCTGATTTGATTTTAAGTCTACACTACTTGATTTGAATCCACCTAAGATAGTTGATGCTGAAGTAATTGATAGGAGGCTGGGAATACATCCAGTTCTTGGAAGTTCAGTAGCTTGGTATAATAGAAACTTTGCCAGGGATATGCAGAGTACTAGCTTTTGATATGCAATGTATGCTGTCAGCATAGCTGATTGAAAGAAGAAAATATTTTGCAGGTAACAGCAAAACTGGAAGTCTGTATTGTGCTAGGTATGAGAACATTTGAACTGTCTTTGCTGCTCAAAATCTCAGCAAGCTTCCTTTAAAAAACTGATCATGTTAGTTTTCAGTGCTGCTATTTAAAATACTGTTATATAGTGAAATGAGCTTAAATGAGCTCCCCTTCTGCTCCTGTTCAGCTATACTGGAACAACATTCAAAAAAGACATTTGGGACTTGAGGAGAATGAGAGAAATAATGGTAGGACCCTTTAGTGTAGATTAGGTGTTCTTTTTAGCAACATGTATGTCCTGCTAAGGACATGAAGGCACTGGGTAGGTATCTGCTTCTATGAGCCTAGGGCGAGGAGGGTTGTCTTCATGTAGTTTTCAAATGGAGTTTTTGTTTAGTTTCCTTCTGATAGAGGGCATTTTTCACAAAGGAGGAAATGTTGTCCGTTAAACAACATTTGAAATTATATTACCCATGTTACTTTTTCCTTAGAAATATTTAGGCCTGTGCCCAGTAAAACTGTTTCTCTTAAAGGCTTGTCTATTCATCAGTTTTAGTTCTGCAGTGAAACCAATACTTACATTACGTTACACCACTGTAGGTGCATCTATTTCTGTGTAACTGTCACAGAGGGTTTGGTTAGTCTTAACTATGCAGCTAAAAAATTGTTCAACACTTGTGTTGATTCAAATGTACCTTTCAGTTATGCATGCTGTTGTAAAATTCTGGTAATGCTTTGTTTTAAAAATAAATAGTGGTAATAGAAGAAGGGATTTGGGAGGAGAAAGAGCAAATTAATGCACCATAAGTTACTAAAATGGCTCTGGGAAGAGAAAGAGCATATTAATGCATAGTAAGTTACTAAATTAAAGAAAAAAAAAATTGACCAGTAGCCCCTTTTAAAGTCTGCTTTCATAGGTCCTAAGATGAAAGAAAAAACCCATATATTTTAACCTGCTTATGATAGGTCATTGTCTGTTCCCCTGGTAGAGGCAATGCTTCCCTCGCTCCCCATACCATTTTTCCAGGTAGATTTCAGGAATAGGAAGAAAATTTATAAAAACTGTGTCATGTTGCCAAGGAAATTAGGACAGTATAATTCAAAATGTAGGAGCTGGCTGAGAGAGGAAAATGCTTGGATCTCACTGAACAAAAATAATACTTGCTTCCTGTTAAATTCCTGTAATATCTATTGTTAATAAATGAAGAAGAGAAATCAAGGACAAACATGATGAAATTGGGAGAGCATATAATGCTTCAGCCAAAAGCACCTGCTGTTCCTTTCACAGATTTTACCATCGTGTCAGTAATAACTGTTAAAGCTTTCTCTTGTATAGAATTTTGCTTTAATAAAATTGTACTACTGAGTTTAATATAAACCTTTTCTGTTGTGCCTGTCATTCAGCGGCCAGTGCAGTCTTTTGGACAGACAGCAAAAAGGTCGAAGGTACGGTAGACTTGTGTGCTGGCATGCTAAGGAAGCCCCTCGTGCTTGATGAAGCTTTGTTACTTTGTGAACAGTGCCTTTAGTTTTATTTTTTGGCATCGAAGCTTTGTTTTATTCTGTTGGATTTTTGTCTTGCCTAGTTGTCTGCTTTTGTGGTTTGCCTTTATATTTTTGGTGGCTTTTTATTGTTGTGGAGAGAAACACTTTCCCAAAGATTTTATTTACTTTTCATTAGATGTGCTCTATTGTGCTGACAGTGCCTTCAAAAGCTGCAATTGCTTGGGTATTTTCTTCCTAAAGGAAATTATTTATTCTATTGAAAATACTAAAAATGCGGTTTTCAGCCATTTTGTTTTACATAAAATGAATGGGAAAATAACGGCTTATGGTATATTTATATAATTTTTTTATAAGCCATAGTTTTAATTTTACATACTTTCCTTTAGTCAAACACAAAGTTAAAGTTAGTTCGGAGCCTTGCTGTATGTGAAGAATATCCGCCACCTCCCACAGCTGAAATATCACAGGACCTCCAGGTAAAAATCACATTACTGAAGTTTCTGAAACGTTTTGAAGTAACTTATTGTCCAAAAGAAAATCTTTGAGTGTTCTTTCAATATGCAGACACCATATGATTTGAGTTTTTTTTTAATACATCTTTAATAGAGGTGGTAATATCAGATGAAGAATTTGCTGCTTTGTTTTTCTGAACTTAATGATTGATATCTGGGGAACAGGAAGAGGGGTTTTGTTCGTTGTTTTAACTTTCCAGTGTTACAGTGCACTTGAGGCAGTCTTAAACTCTGATATGTATGATCAGTAAGACAGAAAAATGATTAATATGTAGCATGATTTCTTGGCTTTTTATATTTAGAAAATTTAAACAGTTGTAAGTTCTGGTGTTTTAACTGAATTCCTGCACATTCGTCATAATTGCTGGTAGTTCTGTTAACACATGCCTGAGGTATGTCTGAAGGCTTATCTATTGAGATGACATAACATGCTTAAAGAAGTTCCTAAATGCTGGACAAAATATGTAAAAATATGTAGAGGATTTAAACCCAAATCTAACTTTTCTGACTTTAACTTCATACCAGTCTGTATTTTTAAAGCAAAACACTATTACTGGTTTTAGGTCTATGCATGAATGAGGGGCATCAAAATTCTTTTCTTGCTGCTCTTTTTTCAGTTCTGACAAAACTGTAATGATCCTTAGTGACTAACTCATAGAGCATGTTGATTTATTTTGCTGTTACCCGAAAAGCTTCTAAACTGTCTTTATGTGAAAAGTCTCACTTTTCTTAAAAAAGCAGAAGAACCAGTAGAATAGCATGGTGTGAGGGGGTGTTGCTGGGGGAGTGGTAATTCAGTTTGGGGGAGGGAAGGGGGTCGAGAACTCATGTTGGTATTTGTCAAGCTAATTAAAATTATGTAAGATTGAACCACAAAGTATTTAAATCGTTTGGGTTTTTTCTTGGGAAAATGAGAAAATAGTATTTTTCGTAGTCCTTCACTACAATACTGGTATTTGAAGAGTTAACTAGAAAAATTTTGAAACTGGGCCTGCTAATTTGATGAAAATCTAAGTCTTAGATTGGTATAGGCTTCAGGGTAAGAGATGAAAAGATAACAGAAAAGTTAATGCTTTTCACAATTATTTACAACCCTGTTGTGATGTTTTTACATAAGGTTAACAAAATTGACTGTGAGATCTAGTTCAGGCTTAACTGTTTAGTGTGAAGCAGCAGAGTTTAACTTTTTCAGTTATACAACACCACGTATTTAAAGGTTTAAAATCAAACATGCGTAGTAAGCATTCTCTGCAGGTGGCATTTGTTAGCGTGTCCCCTAGGGATTTATCTTTAGCTGTCTACTGCAAGGTTCTTCTCGAAAGGAATTATTGCAGTAGTAGAAGAGATGTAAAGGCCAGTTCTATGGAATTAATTTAATTGTGTGATAATCTAGGCTTGTACAAAAGGAACACCATAAACCAGATTGTATATTAAGAAACAAAATTAGATCTAGCTGTGAGTGTTCTTTAGAAATAGTCATCTAGAAAAAATGGCTTATGAATCCCAATAACTGTGCAAATGATTGAGAGAACAAATTTTAATCCTTCCCTGTAGAGTGGAGAAATGCATGTTGAAGAGAAGAGTTAGAAGTAGGAATTTGTTTCAAGTTCTGATGCTGGAGTGCACGTCCTATGAGGCACAGGTCTTCCGTGACCCTCTGTAATAACTCGTACAGGCAATTTCTTCACCCATTTTGCATTCTTTCCTGAAGAGTCTTTGGGAATGGCATGGAAGAGTTCTTCTCTAGGCACCAGTCAGCTGCTGGCTGCCTCAAGCCCTACACTTTGAAGCATGATGTCTGTGCATTAATTGTTATTGGGACATGTGGGACGTGCAGTGGCTAGGTGGAGTGAGAGACTGTCTTGCACAGCCCTCTCTGGCAGCACAAGGATAACCTCCGTGATTGCTTCCCCGCGCGGAAAGTCGCTGCTCTGTTGTGTCGGTGATTGCAACTGAAAAATGCCTTCGAGTTTTATGGTCGTATTTAAAATAGATTTGAAGAGTTAAGAAGAATAAAACTCAGGATAATGTTGCTGATAATACTTGAAGAATCCCAATTTTTAATTATTAGAAAGTGTTAGCCTTGACAGGCTGAAAAATATACTTACTCAACTAGGAACTGGTGTGAGTTTTGGGATAACTCCGTAGTCTTGCCCATGACTGTGCATCAGTCCCACATTCCGCACCAGTGCGTACAGCAGCTCTCAGCAAGGCAGAACTCCTAGGCACATGCAGGCGTAGGAGCCACTTAGCAAGTCACTGCTGGCTACTTCTCCTCAGAAGACTATAGTGAAAGATGCTGACAGACCAGAGGAATTGCCTCAAGCAGTTCCATTTATTCTCCGATATACCTCTTTATATTTTCTTGAGCAATTGCAGTGAGAAAAAAGACGCTGTTCCTTACTGAGAAGCCTGGGTAAGACCTCACGAATTTTTAAGCCTTCCTTGTTAAAAAGCACTAGTAGCCCTTTACTAAATGGTGCTGTGCAAGTACAAGCTTATTGATTTGTTGCAGGAAGAACAACCCAACTGATTTATTTGTCTTTTATCTTTGTAAATACACTCACTCTTTATTCTCTTGCTGTCCTTTGCCTAAATATTAGATACTGGGGTTGTTCTGATTCTGTATGCTCTAATACAAAGTAGGAACACTAGCAAAGGATGATCCGTTTCAACTCTTTTTAAGGAAGAGCTATTTTCATATGAATGACAGTTGTTACTATGTTTAATGAATGAATAAATCTTCAAAAGATTGAACTTTTTCTTCTTTAGGGAAATAAAACAACCCGAAGGAGGGGGAGTTGAGGAAAAAGACAGGAGTCTATGATGTTAGTTTATACTTGTGTAAATTCAGGTGGTTGTTTGTTTTAGAGATAGCTGGTAAAAAGCCAAGACCCCAGGACTTGTGCCTTTGAGTAGTGTTCTGTAATATTTCCTGACTCTTGCCTTTTTTCTTAAGTATGTTAAGCTGGAGGAATTTATCGATTTTGATGTTTTTGAGGGGTTTGGCTTTTCGTTTGGCTTTTTCTTGTTTAATCAGGATTTGGTGACCATTTCTTCTGCTACAATGAGGACCTCAGATAGGTGACCTGAGTTACGGCAAGGAGTCTGTTAAATCAGTATGCCAGCAGAGAACCACTACAAACAGAGTGGGATTAAAAGAATTTTAGGGTAATAGAAGTTAAAAGATTTTTCTGCAGCTTTCCAGGCAAGTAGGTCATATTTAATTAGATGCTACATTTTTTTTTAGCATGAAATCACAAGAAAGTGCCCTTTAGTACACAGTTCTGTTGTATCACACTTTGAAGTGGAATTGATGGTGGTAGAAGAACTGGCTGTTCAGATGGCTGTTCCATTTTTAGCTCTCGTTGGGGAAAGAAGTATGAAAATGATTACTTGCTGAAATCCTTTGACTAAACTATTGTATGCTTTTACTTTGGATGAGTTTAGAATGTGTAGTCAATCAATTTTCTAGTGAAGGAAAATCAGACTATGAAAGTTTCCTTAATTTACTGATAGTTTACATTGTAGAGTATTATTGTAAAATGGGGAATAACGTACTGGTGGATCCAAGTCAGAAATCATTTCAGTGAGGCATATATCATGTTTCTTTCTTCTTCAAATAACTGTAATGCAGCTACTAGGTGAACAGTAGGTGTAATGCACTTTGCAGTGACAGCTAAATTGTTCATTTGAATTATATTCAGGTTTATGAGGTGAGGAATGCAAAGATTTGTTTTGGACTCTTTAAAGTTTTTAGCTAAGTTCTAAGACTAGGAAAGGCTAAGGAAAGTTTGAAGACTAGGAAAGTTCTCAAGACTAGGAAAAAATTATACAAAGGAGTTCATAATCAGTGATTGGTAATGGTTTTTATCAGACTTGGTGTACATAATCTCATAAAAGCTGAGAAGTCTTAACACTTGTAATGCTGTTTTGCAGGGTATATATGAATTAATAAGTTTAATTAGAACATTTGATGTTAAATTTAAATTTAATTATAATGAAAAAGAGAGCTGGCAAAACTATCAGCTTTTTTCTCATTTGAAAAAGTTGTTACTCCAAAAATGCATCTTGAAACTAGTTTTCAACCATAAGCTCATTAGTACAGGGTTCCCATTGCCCAGCTCTGAAGAGAGAGATCAGTTTGGTGTGCTGGGGCAGGGAGGAGCATTACTGCAGGTTGTGCCAGGATGTGTTTGCATGTGAAACAGCCTTTAGCCTGGGTGAATCCTGACTATATTTAACTCTCGCCAGCTTACGTGGGTGAGATGAAGACTGTGGAGTGACACATCGAGAAGGTTAGAGCAGGTGCCTGGATATGGGTAAGAATGGGTTTAAAGGAAGAGTGAGGACTTGCATGGGAAAGGATTAGGTGCAGAACAGAAGAGTGATAGGCAAGAATGTTGATGGGGCAGGTCCTTTGAGTTGGGAAGGATCAGATGTTCTCAGGTGGGGGTGGTGACAGCATCAACTCAGTTGGTATCTGAGGGAGTAAAATTGACATTTGAGGGAGTTAAAGATGAAAGGTAAAGAGGGAGCCTTGCTCTTACAGGACTTCGCCACCCCTCGTCTTGGAGTCATTCAGACACGTGGTATCTCCATTTCCCCCTACCTCCTCTGTTTTTGCTGTCTGAAATATATTAGTCCTTCACTGCTAATCTTGTGAAAGAGTAGAGAGGCATGAAAAACAAATTACAGTTTTCCACTATTTAGGGGACCATTGTGTCACTATAATAGCAAAGGGAAACTCTTATTTTGCTGTATTTGGGAAACAAGTTTTGTGATAGTTCACCTGCTTGTATAAAACCACAGATTTTGAGACTGTTAAGCACAAAGCTACTGTATCAAAATACATGGGAAGTTAAGAATCTAAGCCTTGTGGACTGTAAGGCTTGCAGTTGCTACGTTGATATATCATACTGTAAATATTTCCCTTTTTTGTGCATCTGGGAATGCTGGTCTGTCTTAGATTGAAACATTTGTTTCATTTTTTTTAATCTTCTTTGTATAAACCAAATCGAAAGTTGAAACAAGCTTTTATAGTCAAGAACTGTGAAGAATAGGGGGTAAAAAAAAGCATCGTGAATGATGCATTACTTAAAAATTTAGAAGCTCTATAAAATCTATACATCTGGAAAAAAGGAATATTTTCTTATGTGTATCAAATAAGATACTTTGGATTCATTTTGAAATAGCATTCAGGGCCTGGAAGTGTGCATAAATTCTAAAATGCATATGGTACCATCTAAGTCTTCTCTACAGTTTTTGATTTGCTGATAAATAATTTTTTTGTGGTCACATAAAGTACATGTGGGATCAGAAAGAATATGAAGGCAATTATTTTCCTTGTTACGTCTTTATTTCGCAGGTAATATAGTATGAAACAGTTCTCCTGCAAGTGTTGTTTGAAATAACTTCCATGATGACTGATTTTTACTTTTGACAGGAGAAAATTCAGATCCAGTTGTCACAGTCCTTTGAAAAAGAAGAAAAGCCTGCAAAAGATGAAACAGAAAAGGAAAAATCCAGTGATAAACTGTCCAGAAAAATGTTATCAAGAGGTTTGCTATCTGTCGTTGTGCTTTTAAATGTACTGTGTAGATAGATAAAGAATGTTTAAAGAAAATGCTATTTGCTTCCAGGACATCATTGCATACACATTTACACTTTTTTTTTCTCTTTTTTTTTTTTTTTTTAGCAAATAGGCCAGACATCTTTGAGCTAGAGAAGGAATTGGTCCCAGAGGATATAGTGCTTTTGAGGCTTCTTCAAACACATGTACTCTAGCAAATGCTTTTCCTTTCTCACCTGCCTAGCTATGCAGATGAGCATAAGAGTAATTGTGTTGCCTCAGTTGTGCCCAAGTGTTCTTTGGAAAACTGACTTTACTCGTCAGTGGAAGCTGTTGTCTTTTTCTTACTTTGTTACAGGTTTTGTGAAACTTCAGTGAGGATGACAACTACCTTTGTACTTTTTCTGATCTTTATTCAACAGAAGTCAATGTTCTTTTTTTTTTTTTATTTTTTACTTTTGATAATATCTAGAATGTTTTTTATAAAGTTTTGGGGCAAGGGTGGAACTATGCAAGTGAAAAATGACAAGTCTTATGTTTTCACTTTAATACTCATTAAATGCATTTAATAATGCATTTTGAAGAGCTGTTCTATCTGCTGAAAATCTTTGGTTTTTATCCTGGAGTAGAACTGCAAAATTAATCATGTAAGCCTATTTCTGTCCATGTTTCCTAATGCTTCCCAAAGGTAGAAGGCTTTCTGCATTGAATTTGGCAAACCATTCTACAGCTCTTGCTTTAAATAAAGGGTCCATAATGTTTGCTGAAACATCTTAGATCAATCAGTGTGTAGGAAACATCTTTAAATCTAGGATTCTTTGAGACAGGAAGCACTTCTCCACCTTGTGTCCCTCAATTCCATAAGGCCTTCCTCATGTGGCATATCAGTGCATCCTGTCCCAGCTGGCAGCCTAGTATTTGTGAAATAAAAAGCATTGAGATGGAGAACTTAACTACATTTATAATTCTCAGTCTTTGAAATGATCCCTTTAAAAAAACTAGTTCTTTCAGACCTAACTTGCTTAACTGTTAAATTACATGCCCATCTTCTAAAATGAAAAATAAACCCTACAAACCCAAACCACTCCCTCAAAACATAAAAAAACAACCAAATGGTGGAAAAAAAAAAAAAAACAACACACCAAAACCCCAAACAACAAAACCCAACATGTTAGGTAATGATGAGGAGTTGAGAGCAAAGTGACAAAATGCCTGAGGTAGAGGTAGCTGTTTTAAATTCACCCAGTATCTCCCCTGGAGGTTAATTTCTTCCCAGTTTAGAATGTGCCAAAATAGAAAATGATGGAATTTAAGCACCAGTCTTCTAGTAATTAAAACTAAATTAGTGCTCACTTGCGGATCAAGAAAATCAAAGTAAGTAAAAAAAAATTCTTATAGTTGTTTTACCAGGCTTACCCTTTTTTTTTTTCCACTTCCCCTCCTTGGATTCAAAAGTAATCCCAAACCAGGAATGCTCAGAGTTCCTTGGTTTCGTTTATGCTCTCTTAATAATATATGGGCACAACTGATAGCATAATGAGCACTGCTATAAAGGAACTCCACTGTCATTATTCTTTAGGGAACTAGAGGTTCCTTGCCCTCAGGTGGACTTGGATTCTCCCCATGAAAATCTTAGGTCTCATTTTTGACCACAAAACCACCTGGAACAACTAGGACAGAGGCATAAGTTTGAGCTATACCTAACTTGAGACTAGGTTGACACGGAAGTAGTTCTTGGAAGAAATGTAGTTTCAAAAACATTGTTGAAACACCTCTACCTTTTACTTCTAAGACCTGGAACTCTGGAAGGTGCTCATGTAAGGAAAGATTTGGTGTTCAATCATTTGTTTTAGGGACAGACTTTAAAGAACAAAATGTGACTTTTAATAATTGTTTCACTGAAACCACAGAAAGGAGACAGAAAAGTTTCTTTTTGAAAACTTCCAAATATTATCTTGTGAAAACAAAGTCCAACAGAACAAGGATTTTTAATAATACAAAATAACATTTGTGAAGGTCAAACTGTTACATTCTGAAGGACAGTATTTCTTGTGGCAACATCCAGTAATTCTGTAGGTCAGGGGCTGGTCCACAGAAGCATATACAACAGTGCAGCTTAGTGTATTCGGAAATCAGGTGACTCAAAGTGATACACCGCTTCAAAATATATAGGAATTGGTTAACAGATTGTCAATAACTGGTTACTGAAGCTTTTGCTTCTGTGTTACACTTGAGTTAGGGGGATGGGGGAGGCGATGTTGGGTTTTCTGGTTGGTTTGTTTGTTTTTTTCCACTTGTGAGCCTTTTACCTGGAAACAGGAAGTGTTTAATTTTGGGGAATAACATGCCTGATGGTTATATAGTATTGATCCATAAATACCATGTTCAGCAATAACTGTTAAAAAAAAAAAAAAATAAAGATTGTTTTTTTCAAAGTGTAATTTTGCTTTCTTCCTCCCACCCTTAGATTCCAGTCAAGAATACACAGATTCCACTGGTATAGATCTTCACGAATTTTTAGTAAATACATTAAAAAACAATCCCAGGTAAGCATCAGCAATCTCAACTTTCTGTTTTTCTTTCTTGTCATTACCTGAGGTGTAACACCACCTGTTTTTTGGTTATGTCCTTCCCCCTTATGTGTCTAACGCTATATGTCAGTTATTTAGGATCAGATTTTGCTGCACAGGCTATCTGAAGCACCAGTTCACTGTAATTTGTGTGTTCTATAAGCAGACATTCAGGACATAGAAATGGTTTAAAAGCTTTTAATGTTTAATAAGCAAATAATGAGTTCTGCCTGTGTGCATTTCTATCCCTGAAGGGTCTCTCATACTATGTCTCTAAAACTTGTACTCTTTTAGCATCTGCTTGTTAGAGACTAAACTGCCTTCTCTTGCTTTAATCTGCCTTGCACTGAATTTTTAGACAAAGGAACTTCCGTTTAAGCTGTACCATATAGGCATAGCTACAGATAATACACAGCTTGACTCCACGCATCAGGAAACAGACCTGATCTAATTCAAGTCCATCGTTTGTTAGCAGCACAGTTGACGTGGTTTTCTTGCTTTGAGGTTTGCACTATGTTGCTGTCTGGCTTGTTCTTTTCCTCAGTGGGGTTTCGTACTAGGTCTGTGGCTCTAGGTTCAAGGCAAGAAACTAACTCAGTGGAATTGTGCTGCTGTCACAAAAGCTATTCCACTACTGTCTCTTATTCATTAATATTATAGTTATTATTTCCAGTGTGATAATGTATTTGGATTCCCTTTTATGGGCAAAAATTGTAAAATGAGCTATAATAAAGCTCCAACACTGTTTTGTCCTATAAAGTAAAATTAGAAAGCACAGGCCTCTGCTAGACTCTTACTTTGTTCCTAACTGAAGTCATAAAGCATCTCAATGAAAATAAGAAATAGTAGGTGAAAGTCTGCTGTGGGTTTACATGCACAATAACTGGGAAGCTTAGTTATCTAATGTGCACAAATTATGAAAATTTCATTACATGTTAATGATTTTTGGGAACTGGCATAAGCGTTTTTAAGACTTCTGGTTTATAGTGTTTCAGCTGATGTTCATTTCTATCACCTTGAGTTTTCCCTTTTTTGTCTTCTCTTAATGTCTTGTCACATTGCAATGCGTGCCAGCTTTTAACCACTGGGTTGTTGGTATGTTGTAGTAGTGCCTCCTGTTACCAGTACTCTGTCACTCTGTGTCTCAGTGATCCTAGGATGTGCTTCACAATCCAAGGGCCAGTTCAGGCCCCTGCAAATCTTACTACCCATACTAACCAACAAGAAACAACCCAGTCACTGCTTTTCCTTCTTCTGGAGACTGTACTTTCTGTTGAGCCTACTGGGCAGAGATTACTTGGAGGATCTCTGTATTCTGATTTCTGAGATGAGAACAACATGTTTCACTAGGCAGGTTCAATAAAATATACCTTAGTGAAAAATGAATGCTTTGTCCTAAAAATACTTCATTTGACACCTCGTGGTCCTATTTACAGTCTGCCATCATCCCTTGATCACAGATCTTATCTGTGTATTCTTAAGATGAATACAGCTGCAGTTACTGGAGTGTCTCATATATGAGTTGCTGTGTTTTTATTTTCAGGGACAGAATGATGCTGCTGAAATTAGAACAGGAAATTTTAGATTTCATTGGTAATAATGAGTAAGTACTGTACGCTTATAGGAAAAAAGAATTCAAGAGTGTTCCTGTTTATTTAATAAAGCTACTATTGCTTTCTTCCAGACTTCCAAGAAAAAAATTTCCCCCTATGACATCTTACCATAGAATGCTGTTGCACAGGGTAGCTGCTTACTTTGGATTAGAGCACAACGTGGACCAGAGTGGGAAGGCAGTCATAGTAAATAAAACTAGCAATACAAGAATGTAAGTGTAAAAGTCTCAAAAAAACTTTTTGATACATAGATTTAACACCTGGGATATATTATGCAATGATACTGTAGCTGTAGCAGCAGAGGTCTGCCTACTCATTGGGAACCATGCCTCAAGGAGAAGTAGTTGCAAGGTCTTTACTGCTTGTGTTCCAGTGGCGTATAATAACGTGATCTGTTTTATGTTTAAACTTTTTGGGGAAAAAAAGGATGTTTTCTGTAAATCAAGATTTTTTGTTGCTTTTCTCACAGAGATGTATTGCTAACTTCGTTTCCATGAAATGCAAATTGTTATCAACTATTTACCTGTTAAAAGATTTATACAAAGTACATTCTTTGTTTCTTTTGGAAGGCAGAAGTAGCCCTTAACTTAGAACAGAGTGGTTTCTGATTTGCCGAAGGGAGGAGACAAGGCTTGCACAACTTTGGCTTTTGTACTGTAAAAATCTACTGGGAAAGTTCTGTCATTGAAATCTTTTATTGGAATAACGTTGCTTACAGATCTCCCGTGGCCTTACAAAATAAATGTGGCAGGGAAGACAGAGTCCTCGTGAGCGGAAGTGTTAACCAGGTTAACGAGTCATGACATGCTACTTTACTGTGAGGGCTGGGAGTTCTTGAAGAAACCACTGGGCAAATCCATATTACAAAAAAGTAGTGTTAGGGCCACAGCAGCTCCAAAACCCACGTGCAGTTAACCTTTTCATCCAAAGGACCTGGCTGTTCTTTCTGTCCTCTGCACTTGCTCTGTCTCTTCATTCTCTCTCAGAAAGACAAAGGACTAATGTGTTGGTATGTTTATGCCACCTAGTTTTTAGTTTTAACCTAAAGCATTTGCCTGACACCATTTTTTTTTTTTAAGTAGTCCATGATTTGAACATGAAAACAGGATTTTACAGCTCCCGCATCCTAATCCCAGTCTCTATGTACATTCACCATAGCTTTGGGAGAAAAAAAAATCTAATTTTTCACGCTAATTTTAGAGTCAGTAGAACTAAAATAATATACTAAACTGAAATGTCACTTAAGCAAACCGTTTGCTCCTCACAAGTTTCTAGAAAAATATGTAGAGCCTAAATCTATGTTAAATAACTTTTGTATTCATGTATGTTTTTGCTTTGGCTATACATTCTCTATCCAAATTGACTTATAAATCTGTTGCCTTTGCTTCTACTAGCATCTCTAGACTGAAGCTTCTGTCTAGCACTTCAGGTGTGGAATATGAACTGTTAAAGGATGATTTCTTCATTTTTATTTATTATTTTTTTCTAGACCGCATTTAAATAGCTTATGGCCTCTGGAAGCCCCCTGTAGGTGTAGTTACTAATTAGCAGGCATTTCATCTAACCTGCAGACGTTAAGATTCTTAATGTTTTCAGTATTCTTATTTTAAATCACTTGGGATATAAAATAAGAATTTAGACAGAAAACCTTGGAGATCTGCTCCATGTTGAATAAAACCAAACTTACCTTTTCCTCATAGGCAGATTCCCGGCTCCATCGCTGATCAATGATGTTACTGACATCAACAACCCAGTGCATACTGGGACGTCTCAGTGGAGTGGGAAGTTGGTGATTGCAGGGCAGTAAATTCAGGGACCTTTAAAAGAAAGAGGTAAGACAGTCTAAAGGTTCTCTGAAATGCCTGCTAATTATGTTTGGGCATCCAGTAACTAATAGTTAGGCTTGACTGTTCTATAGAAAAAGATCTCCTGACTTTATACATGTGTCCTGGGTGATGAATAGAGAATCAGAAATAGAGAACAGTATACATGTGTTTTGTCTGTTGTTAGGCAGATTTCTGCTGATTGTCTGAGAACTTCTCTTATGACAGTAGTAGTTTTATTGTCTAGGTATTCGATATCTACTTTTAATAACAAGACTTTGCAAAATATCTCCTTTTCTTTCCCAAAATAGATAAAATACCAAAACAATATATATAATCTGTTGCTTCATCCTCTTGCTATGATCTCGTGAAGCTCTTGCTTGCCTGCATTGTACTGTTCTTATCTTGCTTATTTCTACTTAATTTTGTTTTAGAAGTTTGTAAATTTCAATGCTTTCTCCTCTATCTTCTTATCTTCTGGTTTGCCTCAAAATGAATTCTGAGGTATTACAGCTCTAGCAGAAAGCACCTACCTCCACATCCATGCATGCCCAATATCCATTGCATGGCACCAGTCTGGATTCAAGAGCACTTCTGATTCCCCAAGGGCATGTGGTTTGCTTGCCACCTTAATTGGAAATTGAAGTAAAAGCTTTAAAGGAGGAAGAGACTTTAAAAGCAGGTTTGTTATGCCTCAGGAACAGGACTTGTCAGGGGTACACATCATCTTATGTTTTTGGTACCTTTTCCATTGCCTGGACAACCAAAATGTATTACTTCAGTTAGAATATTAAGTGTATTTAACATTCATCTTGAGTGTATTTCAGTTTGTTCCACTGTTTACATGTTCCAATGTTTACAAAACCATAAATCTTTTCTTTCTAATGACTTTAATAGACCTGACCAAAAGTTTTCTGAGCATATAAAGGATGAGAAGAGTGATGATTTCCAGAAGCGGTACATCCTTAAAAGAGATAACTCTAGTTTAGACAAAGATGACAACCAGGTAAAGAAATACAGGTTACTTCCTTCCACTTGCTGTGTTTGACTGTGTATATATACTATTTTCCTGTAGAAGTTGACACTGTATCACTTAATTTAGATGAGAATACGATTAAAAGATGACAGAAGAAGTAAATCCATAGAAGAACGTGAAGAAGAATATCAGAGAGCTAGAGAAAGAATATTTGCACAAGATGTATGTATCAAAGAAAATCTTACGGTGTTTTCTATGAATACTTCACACACGTACCTCCACGTGTGGTTTTTGTTAAAAGATACTTCTTTCCAGGAAACTTTCTGTATCTGAGAGGGACTGAACAGCTAAATCATTAGTGTGGCCTGAGTGAGTTTTAAGTTATATTGAAGTTACCAAGAAATTTTCCGTTTTCTCTAAACGCTACTGTATGAAACTCAAGCAACCTTCAAGAATTATTTTTGGTGCATTATCTAGAGTTAACTATTTCAATGCATTATTTTGCCCCTTGATGAAATTTAAGGTATACCCAAAACCAAAAGGTTGGGATTTTCTCACTTGTGTCTATATCAAACACATCTAATTACTAGTCACAGTAAAATGATTTGAATTCCCATACGTGAAATTTCAGTCAGAAATCTAGAAGTCTCGTCTCTTTTAACTGGAGTTGTCAAGCAGGACAGCATTGTGAACTGTAGTTCAATCACAAGTAGTGATTATATTTAATTATATTGAGTGAAACAGAACAAATATGCCTTCAAAAAGATGCCTTACTTCTAATAATCCTATTTTTCTGACATGTATCTGTAGCTCTTATGCATCCAAAACCAGATTCTTGTTCTGAAGAAAGAGTAATGAGCTCTGAGAGGCTCGTTTGCTATATCCAAATATTTTCCAAAAGCCTTCTTTTGTTTATCTTAGTTAAAAACAAAAAGAATGGACTTTTAGATATAAAACTACCTTTTCCTTCGGTGTACTCATTTACTGTGTATTGTACCTTTAGAAGCTTTGTACCAAGTGTTAGAAGTCACAGTCAAGGACAACATAAGTTAATAGTAGCCTTTTTGATTGTATATTCTGTCTGCTTTTTAGCATATGTGTACTTGTACCCAAGGAAGTTATTACAATCATTGCAGTAGCCAGTGTCATCACCTACTTCACACTTTGAAGCAGAAGACAAGGCAACTCAAGTGGTGTTAACAGACTTGGGAAGTCACACATCCACTGGAAGCTACATAAGGCAGCAAGGCCCGATGGAAGAATTGTCATTTCAGAAAAATACTGATATAAACAAAATAGTCGGCATTGTAACTGTTCTAATGCTAACTTCTCTTTCCTCAGATGGGCCTTTTTATATTGTCTTTTTTTGCCGTAACGTGGAAATTGTCCACCGCAGAGGTTTTGTTTTCAGGCAGTTTAATGTAAGAGGATGCTGTAAAAGTCCATGTGTAGCACAAAAGACTCAAATTACAGCATGTTTTGTTACTGCGCTGTAGTAGGGGTTCTAGATGCCATTCATATTAATTTCTACACTTCTTTGCCCCTCAGTCCCTGTGTTCCCAAGAGAATTATTTCACTGATAAAAGGTAAGAAACTTTGCAGTTTAATTCTGTTTCATTTTGCTATTTTCTTAATAAATATTAAGCTATCTTATTAAAATGTCAACAGAATCCAGGAGGAAGAAACTAATAGTACACAACAAAGACGACAGATACTTAGGTATTTGATGCTTTCTTTAAAAAAAAAAAAAAATCCCAAAGTATTCTGCATGCATTTCACCTTTTCTTTCTTTTTTTTTTCTTTTTTTCTTTTCCCTTATTTTGTGATTGATGCTTATGCTAAAAGTTTAGTTTATAACTTACAGAATCAATAAGGAAACATCAGGGAGATCAGCCAACAGCCACCAGAGCAGTACTGAGAATGAGCTGAAGTATTGTGAACCCCGTCCCTGGAGCAGCACCGACTCTGATAGCTCCATCCGCAATCTGAAGCCAGCTGTAACGAAAGCCAGCAGCTTCAGTGGGATATCGGTTCTGACAAGAGGAGATAGCTCTGGAAGCAGCAAAAGCACAGGCAGGCTGTCTAAGACAGGTATAATACAATCTGTGTACATACATAGTTACATAGCAGTGATGTACCTGGTGGTTTGATACTTGATGCGTATTGCAGATGTGTACATATGTAGAGGCCTCAGCCTTGTAGGTGCTCCGTGCATGCAACTCCCTCTGGATGCAGTGGATGCTGCATACATGGGATGACCACAGACCTAGCCCTGGAGAGCATAACTGCCCTGGAGAGCTAGAATTCAGGTCACAAATGAAATAAGACTTTTGACTTTGGAACTAGAATTTTAAAGTGCATTATAGATGGCTTTAAGCTAAATGCATTTCACCTCATACAAGAGATTTGGAAACATTTATCAACATGAGTACTTTATTCAAAACAAAAATTTAGAGTTCAACTCTTTAGCTTTAGTGTGGCAAAACTGCATTGTGCAGTGTTAGGAAACTGTGTGCTGCTATCCTACTCGCTAGGAAAAATTATGAGTTGTTAGTTAATGTTTGTTGTTTTATCTTTCAGTGCCATCCTTAACTTTAAATTAATATGACCAAAAAGCTTACTGAATTTTTAGATTTTTCAACAATCAGATCAGTGGAACAAAGTGTACTGTTTAATTTTAAGATTCAGAAATGCTGAGGGAAAACACTCATTTTATAGAATTCTGGGTTTCAAATGTGTGTTAACTTGTAATTAATGTCAAAATCTCAGAAAATATGGTTATAAATCTTCTGTGGGTCAAAAATGAAATTTAGTAAATATTCCAAATGCCAACGTAACTTGATCCAATATATATTATTGGTGGTGGAGAATGTTGAGGTTTGTAATACATGGGTGGGTTACAGATGCACGACTTCCTGATTTGAAGCAGAACTGTAAAAAAGGAGAGTATTATTGCTTGCCTGTATTATGCTTGGCTTTGATTTCATTTATAAAACTTGTTCCTAATAAGGATCTGTTTAAATTTTTTGCTTTCCCTTAAACCACCACTACCTTATAGGTATATCCCCACACTTCTATATCTTAATGCAGTAAAACGGTTAGAAATTTTGTGTACATTGTATACTTGTATAAAGAAATACATTTCAAGGTGCTTCTGCATGTACTGTAAAATTGTGCCATCACATGGAGTTATTTCATTTAGCAATGCAGTAATACTATTTGGCACAGTTTGGAAGGAAACTACAACCTGATATATAAAATACATTCTTAGAAATCTTTGTATTCTAAATTGCAAGAACATAAATGGATTCTTAAAATTTCACTGGGAACTTTATTTTGACATTTGGAGAGTTGGTAACTTTCAAATTTCAGAATGCCGATCTTGATGGTCGTTGCTTCACTGCAGTTACGGGTTGTGGTGATTTTGCATGTGTTGAGATTGTTTCTGTTTGTTCATATTGATCAAGGATGCAACTGGCTTTAATTACGATGGCTTCAGCCTAACCTCTCTACATAATCTAGAAGTGGATACACTTTTAAACAAGTCTAATCAAGGTAACTCTGGTCAGCTGAAGATGGTTTTACAGAGCTGGGATGTGCTATTTTGCCCAGTTTACAATTAATAGCTTATGTATTTCACTTCATCCGACACTAGAAAAAAGGCAAAGTCAGCATCAGCAAATGCTTCAAGCTATACTATCTTTTCAGACACACAAGTAAAAGGGTTACAATTAGAAATTTTTATGAAGGACTGCACAGTAACTTCAAACAGTAGAGAAATTTTGTCACAGCCCTTTTTGAGTCTTGCTTCCTCTTCTAGATTGTATAGAGGCTGCTAATAAAGAGTTCTTAAATTGAAAAAGCTATATACTGTCTCAAAGTACTGTAAGTATCATAGCAAAGACTTAATAAAAAGTATGATAAACTGTATGTATACCTAGATCTCTAGGTATACAGTGATCTAGGAACAGTGTGGTTTCTACAGACCTCTCCCTATTGGACTTCTGGAATGTTGCTTTTAGCTGCATGCATTGGCTTTCAGAAAGCTCAGGGTCTGATTCTCCACTGCTTTGCAATGTTTAGTCATTCATATCTGTAAAACAATTATTGCTTTCAACCAGCTACTTCATACTCTTTTTGAACTTTGAATTGTTGCGTAAAACTAGGCTACAGTTACCATATTACCACAATTTTTTCAGTCTGAATTCTTGGTTTCGGTCTGAAAATTGTCAGAGGAGGAAAAAATAGTTTTGAGGTTTTTTTAGTATTCTACAATTTAGTGTTCTACAATTTGTCCAGCATGTTTACTACTAGATGTCAGAGATCTTCTCTGACATCTAGTAGTAAACACGGTTGTTGCTTGCGTGCAGGCTGTGTCTGCAGGGCATGTGAATTTAGCGTATCCGCAGGGACGCGGGGCCCACTGCATCTGTTTCGCCACGGTCTGTACGGTGGTAGGCTGCGCGTTCATCACCTCGTGTACCCCGTCGATACGTGGGCACGTGTCCTTTTGGGCTAAGTGGGCGATCACTTAAACGAGTTGTGAATGAACCGAATGAACGTGAGCACATGTGCATGTGTACAGGCACATATTTTCTGTCCAGAAAAGCAGAGCTAGATATGAAAACCTCACTTTACAGTGCAAAGCAGTGCTGAATTGACCCTTGGTTCACAAAGGGAATCTTGTAATGGTATGCTAGGGAAAACGAAGGGGGAGTTCATTGAAAAGGCCGCTAATAATGTACTTAAATGCTGAACTTTAAGGGTGAGCATTTACAAGTATATATTTTAAGTGAGCATGATGTTTCTGTCTCTAGGTAAAAACAATTTCTCGTTACTCCTTTCCTAGGTTCAGAGTCTTCTAGTAGTGTAGGGTCATCCACGGGTTCTCTTTCTCACACCCAGCAGCCTCTTCCGGTGCCAGCTCTAAGCCAGCCTTCTCATGGCACACCTGCCGTCTATCCAACTGTCAGCACTAGTAACTCTCTTACCTTTGATGGTGGCATAAGCGGGCAAGTGGCACCTACTAGCACTAGCTTCTTTTTGCTTCCTTTGGAAGCGGCAGGCATACCGCCTGGCAGTGTTCTGATCAACCCTCAAACAGGTTGGTACACGCTTGTGGATGTGTTTGTGGAGAAAAATGCACGAGTGTTTACATAAGACTGAATGTCAGTATTGTCCTTTCTTTGTCTCTTTATTTTTTTTTGTGGTTGTGTTTGTTCAGTGCAATTAATTTAAAAACAAAGCATGACTCTAAGTTAAAAGGCATATGTAAACTCACTTGATTCTCTCTAGTAGAGTTTTAACTTAAATTTTTAATGAGTAAATTATATGTAAAATTTTAATGAATAATAATGAAAAATATTAAAATCCTGTGATATATTATCCAGAACGCAGAATAACTTAAATTGTGTTTGCTTTTTTGGGGAGAGGGAAAAGTCTTTCCCATTGCTACTATAAAGCAGTTTCAGTGAGGGGAGAGAGCCTGAAGAAGTATTCATATTGACTTGAAAGAATTTACCATCCTTCATTTGGCTTGTCGCAACATATTCTTGTCTTTCTGTACTCATGACACTGACTTAATACAAGTGGAAGAAAGAAGCATGAGATTACATGCCATTTCTAAACTCCCGTTTGTCAGTTTAAAACAGGATTAAATCAATGCTGGCGTAATTGGCCAATACTGATATTTTATTAAATAGTAGAAAATTAATACTTCATAGTGTAGATGCAAGGAGATGTGTAACTACTTGTCTGGATTAAATGACTCGTTAGCATTCTCTGGACAAACTTTTACTTTATTGTAGAAGTTAAGAATTCTTGAAAAATTTAATTTACCTTTTATGCAACACATCATAATCTTTGAAAAATTAGTATCTTTTTAGCTTTAAATATTTGATTTCCTTGTAGAAAAGGAAATACTTCAGGATATATTTCCCATCATTCTGTAGATGGACTTTATTTCAGCAACCCCAATCAGAATAAATTTAGTTTAAAACATCATGTGCAGTTATATTCAAACACAATAATCAGTTATAAAATTATTTATCTTCTATATCTAGAAGATTTAACACAAATAGAATCATAGAATAGTTAAGGTTGGAAGGGACCTTAAAGATCATAGAGTTCCAACCCCCCTGCCATGGGCAGGGACACCCTCCACTACACCAGGTTGCCCAAAGCTTCATCCAACCTGGCCTTGAACACTTCCAGGGATGGGGCATCCACAACTTCTCTGGGCAACCTGTTCCACTGCCTCACCACCCTCTGAGTGAAAAATATCTTCCTTATATCCAATCGAAATCTCCCCTCTTTCAGTTTAAAGCCATTGCCCCTTGTCCTATCACTACATGCCCTTGTAAAAAGTCCCTCTCCAGCTTTCCTGTAGGCCCCCTTTAAGTACTGGAAGGCTGCAATAAGATCACCCTGGAGCCTTCTCTTCCCCAGGCTGAACAGCCCCAACTCTCTCAGCCTGTCTTCATAGCAGAGGTGCTCCAGCCCTCGGATCATCTTGGTGGCCCTGATAAATAGATAAAATTTCTCCTTTGCCTTAATATAAATCAATTGCTGTTGTATACAAAATGTGAGATTTTTTTTAAATTAATGATTCTGCATGTTGATAGGCTGCCTAAGGCTCTCTGAAATGCCTTACTGTATAAACAAATAGTTTAAGCCAACCTTGCCAAAAATTGGTTACAACCAATTTTTGTTGTAAATTTTTGCTGTAGTATCTAATTTTCATAGATAGCCATCGGATGTGGAGGAGGAGGTATTTGCCACCTTACATCCAGGTTCTGGACAATAGCACTATTGGCTTAGTTTTTCTAGTTCTAATGTGATAGCTGTACATCTTAATCATGGATTTTCCATTGGGTGTGTTGACCATCTGAAGAGAAATATGATGGTTAGTGAACGAGGTTTGCTAGAAAAATAAGTGGGCTTAGTGTTTGTATGCACAAGAGTACTTTGTACTCTACATTAAATATGAAGAATAGTGGCTGTCATTTTTTGCATTGCAAGTTTACAATAAGCATGACCATGCTAAAATCTTTAGGGTTACTGTACAGCAAAACAGATTTTGCAGGTGCTGAAACGATACTATCAGCTTGGAAGTGATTTCATGTAAAACATGATACAGTTTTTTTCATTTGAAAAAGAGCGAGTTTTGAGTCATCTTCATTTCAGTTCTGTGCTTGTCCATGTTTTGCATGTGATTAGTTTCACTTTCTTCCTCCTGTACTGTTGATCATTTTCCCTGTTACATTGATGGGACTTCCACATAGCAACAGGGAAGGGCAGAGAAACGAATGTGATTGTGACAGTTTTTCATCTGAAAGCATCTTGTACTCGCACCCTCCTCAGAAAAGGCAGCAGAATTGTAGACGTGACGCTGATATTCATTAAAATTAGCTTGATTTTCAAATTATGATTCTTCCTATGTCTTATCTGATTTTTAATGTATTTAAACCAGTCATTAATAGTGTTTCATAACAGAAGATGATGTTAATATCTAAAGAGTGTCTTATGGAAGATAAAGTACACTTCCAGAACAAGGAATATCTAGGTTCAGATAAACTTTCGACTTACAGTGTACTCAAATCATCGTATTTTGTAATTGTTCATCTGGCTTTATTGTTCCAAATGACAGTCAGAGTTCAAAACCCATAGATTAGTTTCTCAAAATTTCTGACAGAGGATCTCGTGACCTTAGGTCAACAGAGTTGTCATTCTCAGTAGTTAAAGACAGTAATTAGCTCTTACTAAGCCAGTACAGGAAACAAGTTAAGCTCCAGTGATTACCAGAAAGTAGTAGAAGGAAATAAGAAAATCTGGCTCCCTATTTATGTGAACATTCCCAATTCTTGAGCATTAAAGAGAAATCCATTAAGCTAAATTGAATACAGCAAGTCTGTTCATGGTTCCTGACTGTCTCTTGCACTGATTGCCTCAGTCCTCTCTTCAGTAACTTGTATGCTTTTGTGTTGGCCAGTTGCATTTAAACATGATGGAATGAAGGTGTCGGAAGTAGCACTAGTCTACTTTGGCAGGGCCCTGGCCAGGGCGCCACGGCTTTAGTCTCAGTTTATTCCTTTCTGGAAAGAATCTCAGACAAGAAAGTATTTATGTTGGAGGAGAGAGAAATATCTGTCGGTATTGAGACCTTCAGCATGAAAACAAGCCAAGACATGACACATGTCATTAAGCAGCTAGACGCAGGTCCTTGCTAGCTGATATGTTCTTCCTCTCATTTGTTTTGGTTTTGCCAACCAGGCACCAAAATAAGCCACTGTTTGTTTATGATTTACTTTTAGGTAGTTCATTTTTTAATGCTTTTCATTAGTCCACTGCTGTAATTGCAAATTATTAAATAGGAGAATAATGCTACAAGATTTCATTTGAAAGCTAAAAGCCAATTCATCTATGAGTAGGGGAAGAGTCCTTTAACAGTAATCTCGTTAGCAGTTATGGGAGTACCATCGCAGCTACTGCTTTATATAGATTTTTTTAAATATTGGCCTTTAAGCTTCCCTGTGTTCTGACTGGTATTCAAAGTGATTAATTGAGATTCATTTAATTGCCTTTTAATATGTCCTTAAAATACTATTTTTAGTATGGTTTTCCTTTATTACTCCTGCCTTTTTCAATCCACTTAATTAAAAATGAGCTTTCAGACAAGTAGGATACAGCAAAAAATTTATCTGTGTTCACTAAGTAAAGACTGGAGTTATCTTTGCCGTAAATGTTTTGGTTTTTAACTGCATGTAGTTTGTCAGATGAGGCTGTTTAGTCGTTGCTGTTCTAAATGTAGTTGTGGGGATTTGGGTCTGCTGTAGAAAACAGTGTGACTTCACTTGTTTTAAAATTTTATCGTTTTATTCATTTTGTCTACTGTAAATACATTTATCTTTATTTTCTCCAAACAGAGATGATGCAGCTGGCTGTCATTTGGTTGTGTTTGTTCTCTTTCAACTTTTCAGGTCAGCCATTCCTTAATCCAGACGGCACTCCAGTTGTGTACAATCCTCCTATGCCTCAGCAACCTGTTAGGACCCAAGTGCCTGGACCTCCGCAACAGCCACCTCTTCCTGCACCACCTCAGCAACAGCCAGCAGCTAATCACATCCTCTCACAGGTGCACATGTCAAACACATGACGCTCGTAGTGATGGCTGATAATGTCAAACTGGTTTCTGATAACGAGGGATCAGTAGGTTTGTTCTGTTGAAGCATATGTTCAGAAGTAATAGCTACACAGGTGTGGGTAACTGGACTCTCCCCGTCCCCCAGTCCTCGGAACTGTCAGTTCTACTAAAAATTGAACATGGTAGGCAGCCTCTTCTTAAAAATACAGAAAATAATTTGGTTTTGAAATTTTACAGTATCAAGAATATACCAAGCCTAGATTGCTCTGGAAAAGAGGTTCTGGCTTCATCAGTAGTCGCACTGTGTGGTTACCCCGGCATTACCAGTGATATAGTCAGCAATCTGTGAGAGAGCTAATCCAACTGAAATCTTTTGTTTCCTTGTCTTAAGGTTGTTTTTCAGCCAGATGAGTTCTTGGGCTGTACCAAGTGCCACAAGTGGTACTGGTGGCACAAAAGAGAGAGCTTAGGACTGGTAGAGTACGAACACCTCTTCAGTAGCACTTTGGCTTACCCTGCTCACAAAACTGCATGCTGGAGAACAGGGTATACTTTACCCATCTCATCTTGTGTAAAAGGAATTTAGTAAAATAGGCCAGACTAAAGATTACCTCAGCCCTTGAAGAAGAAAAGAAAAGCAAAGAGTGTGTATGAGCAGGAGAAAGGAGGGTTCTACCTCTTTTTACAGCAGCTGTTTCAGGCACCAAGATACTGGCTATAGTCTTCTGTGATATTTTCAAATTGTTCTCAAATTTGATCAAAAAGTTATTTATAGAACTTCATGAAAACCTTTTTCCTGGTTCATTTTCCCTGGCTTAAATCTTCTGTTTAGGACACCTGCGTTTGCCACAGTAGAAACGGTCTGTTTTGAAAAAGGCTCATATTGTATTCTTTCTCCCTATCTAGTTTATGGAAGTGGGTAGGTGGTATTTGCAGTTTTCCTCACAAGTTCTTTACTGCTTCTGTGATTGCCTTCTCAATGAATACGGGAGTTGAACCTGCCTGATATTATCAGCAATGACACCTCTCTGATGTTCAAATAACCACAATCTAAAGAAAACACTTTATATTGTTGAATAAGTGAAAGTAATAGGTTTTAATCTGTGGTTAGTAGTGAACTCGTTCTGTCTTTAGATGCTTTGAAGCAACTTATATTTAGAATGCATGTGTAGTTTTTATTTTGTAATTTAAAAAAATATCTCTAAGAGAAACAGTAAATGTTAAATGGAAGCAATTTGCTGACTTATAGCCAATGTAATGTATAACAAATAAAGCAAATATCTTTCTGCTGGTAGACTGAGATATTGAAAATTTACTTTTGTTGTAATTCTAGCCAGTCTTTAGCTTAAAAAAAGTATCCATTCTCTTTCTGATAATGGAGCCTCATTGCTTTTTGACTGTGTTTTCACTTCCTCTAGTCTGATGTTAACCATGTTTATAAACCTGTTATTTCTTCAGCCTATGCGGCCTCTGCAGCCTTCCTCCCAGCCTGTTCAGTACTCTGCAGTCTCTTATCCACCCCCGCTCCTGCCCGCCTCCTCTACACAGCAATATTCTGTGGTATTATATCTTCTGTTCATCTCCTCTCTGCATGGGTTAATCTGTGGTGGATACTGACCTTTGCTTGGTCGTTTAAGTGGTGTGTGATAGCAGCGTGATGACTGGCTAGGTGTTCAGTCGCAGTAAAATATTACCTGAGTGGGGGAAAATGGTTCCTGAGATTTTTATGGGTTTATTTCAAGTTCAGCAGAAATGTATACCGTTAAGGCTGTACCTATATATCTCTATATTTAGATATACAATATTTCCCTTTGTAAAGGAACAGCTTTTCAATCCTATTGTGTTGTTAGCCAGTCAGTACTTTGTTATGTCTCTGGATTAACCTCTTTCCATCCTTTCTTGTTGTTTCTTTCTGTCTGATGAACCCTAGTACCTTTTGAGGGATCAGCTGTGCTGGTTTTTTGAGGTTACCTTTTTCTAGCCTCTTTGCCAGAACTCTTAACAGTCCTACTTCACTAGCATCCCTTGTTCAATAAAGAAGTGGGAAATGAAATATCCTAGTCCTTTGTGTTAAAAAGCAAAACAAACAAACAAAACACCCCTGCAAATTGAAACTAAAACCTAGTAAAAGAGAAGATTAATCCACGGCAGAGTTTGAACTAGAGTCCAGGTGAAAAGTTGAGGTTTCCAAACTCCCCATACTGCTCTGATACTCCAATGAATATCTGTTTGTGTTGGGTTTGTGTGGCCTCATGTTGGACAGAGCCAATGTCAGGCAGCTCCAAGACTGACCCTGCACCAAGATCAGGAGGAGGAAAGGGAGGAGGTGCTCCAGGTGCTGGTGCAGAGATTCCCCTACAACCCATGTAGAAGACCATTGTGAAGCAGGTTCTCCCCCTGCAGCCCATGGAGGACCATGGTGGAGCAGATACCCACCCTGCAGCCCGTGTAGGATCCCACACCAGAGCAGGTGGAGATGCCCTGAAGGAAGCTGCTGCCCATGGAGGGCAGGAGCAGGCTCTTAGCAGCAGTTGTGGCCCAGGGAGAGGGGCCCATGCAAGAGCGGGTTTTCTGGCAGGACCTGCGACCCCATGGGGGACCCACACTGGAGCAGTCCATTCCTGGAGGACTGCAGCCTGTGGAAAGGGCCCATGCTGGAGCAGTTTATGAAGAACTGCAACCTGTGGGAAGGAGCCATGTTGGAGAGGTTTGTGAAGAACTGTATCCTGTGGGTGAGACTCCACGCTGGAGCAGTGGAAGAGTGTGAGGAGGAAGGAGTGACAGAGACGAAGCGCTATGAATCGATCACAACCCCATTCCCCATTCCACTATGACACAGGGGAGGAGGTAGAAGAGTTGGGAGTGAAGTTGAGCCTGGGAGTAAGCAGGGGGGTTGGGGGAAGCTGCTTATAGTTTTGGTTTTATTTCTCACTATCCTGCTCTGTTATTAATTGGCAATAAATTAAATTCATCTTCCCCAAGTCAGGTCTGTTTTACCTGTAGTGGTAACTGGTTGAGCGATCTCCCTGTCCTTTTCTTGACCCATGAGATTTTCGTCTTATTTTCTCCCCCCATATTGCTAAGGATGAGAGTGTGATAGAGCAGCTTGGTGGGCACCTGCCAGCCAGGCAAGGTTAACCCACCACAGTGTTGTACAATAGCTATTCTAGTATTATATTGTTATTATTTTAGTATTATTTTTGATACTGTTTTCAACATTAATCAGAAATGTCTTCTAATAATAGATACAGATTTATCCAAATTCAATAGTCTGCATGTAATTAAAACTATATTGTAACCATTATCTGACTAAATTATCTAATTATTATTAATAAAATTCAATACAATTATGCCAAAGTGCAATGTGCACTGCATAGAAATAAAGGATGAATTTTGCTCTGACCTTTTTATTTCCTCATGAAGAAAGACCTGATAATAGTAATTCTTCTCAAGAGAAAAGATAAAGGTCATCACAAGCAAGTTCAACCGTGGATATGCACACAATAATTATAATGAAGAATAAAAGAAATTACAGGGAGATCCACTACTTTCAGAAACTCATTCTTCTCCCATTTTCATATTCACAGAAACTGTGTTTACAATTAAGGTCACTATTTCAGTGACTTTTCAAAAATCCAAAAGGAATTGCACTTCATGGAGGGTGTGTGGTGGGTTTTTTAGCAATATTGTTTCTCATGTTATTTTAGAGTTTGAATACAGGTGAACTGCAGTCAGTATAACTTACCTCCTTAATAATGAAATGAGAATGGTTTTAAAATAGAGGGAGGTAGGTTCAGGTTGGATATTAGGAAAAAATTTTTTACTATGAGAGTGGTAGAACACTGGAACAGGTTGCCCAGAGAGGTGGTGGATGCTCCATCCCTGGAGACGTTCAAGGCCAGGTTGGACAAGGCCCTGAGCAACCTGATCTAGTTGGAGATATCCCTGTTCCTTGCAGGGGGGTTGGACTAGATGACCTTTGAAGGTCCCTTCCAGCCCTAACCATTCTATGATTCTATGAGAATGGTTAATTAGCAGATGTGAGCTTCCTCTGTGTTTAGCATATGCCTAAATTGCTGCCAGTAGCAGCCAGTTCAGGTGTGTCTGTGCCATGACTCACGATCACTGTCGGGCATGTGGTTGTTAAAGCAGAGAAAGAAACGCCTTCCAGGTTTAGAATAGTTTCAAAGCGTTTCGCATTCAGGAAACGGGTTCCAGTACTAAGTGCGCGGGCAGTTTCAGACATCTAGTCCAGCTGATGGTAACTTTGGTCACGTAGGGAAAAGGACTGATGGCCTTGGTTCATAATCTAAATGCAACACCTCTCTAGCTGGTACCAGGAAAGTTTCTTTATCCGTTTATTGGTAATACCGTGTTTCAGCCGTTAGTCGTGCTTGTACTGTACGTATCATTGTAGGACAAACTGACCAGATTGGAATTTACTGATAGTGTAACAGAAATAAATGTGTATTGCTTGAGTTTATCCTTTGGACATTTTTAGAGGCAATATTAATTCGTAATTAAATATCAGTATCTCCTCTCTAAGCTAGGTATTACGAAAAACAGAATGTAAAATCCAGTGTAGAAAAGCATCATAGTTGTGTTAACAGGCATCATTAAAGAATGAAACACCAAAGGTAAATTTAGCTTGTTGATCTAATGAAAATAGGGCTTTTTAAGCTGTAAAAGCATTCTAAATGAAGTTTTATGTGCAAATTCATATTTCCAGTGACATTAAGAATATCTTTAGCCTGGGAACTATAAAATTTCATCGTTAAATGTGAATGTAGCTAACGGGTAAAAGACAGAGATTGCACTTAGTCTTTCTTGAGTAGCTCTTATCTTCTTTAGGATGATCTAAGAGAAGATCAGGTTGTCTTAATATATTTTTAATGTTCCTCCATGTTTGGAGAATCCACTTTTGAAGCATGAATGAAATCTTCTGTTTAGCAAAAAAAATACAATACTGCTGATCACTTCTGATTTCCAGGATGTTGATAATTTGATGCTTGTGAAGAAAAGGAGCTTTGGGTTACAGTAACAGAAGTTTCAAATTTCACAGGGTTCCTGTAGTGCTCAGTGCAATCAATATCTTCGTTTCAGATGTTAATAAAACACAGATAGTAGGTAACCACTAGAGTATGTTTCTTGCAGCTGTACTTAATTTCAGGCTAAAAAAGATTAATCCTTGCATGTAGTATAATAGCAAGTTAGAGGAATTTACCTTGTTATTCAGGATTAGAGCCTTGTTAACTTAAGCTCTTAAAACCAGAAATTACTTTAGCAATACTAATGCCTTCTGCCATTTTAACTGGGGTTAGAAGTTTTCAGTCAAGCTTTGGAGTCCAATCAGAAAATGTTAATGACGCAAATTCTGACTTTATTTTTGACAATTGAATTCTTAAAATAAGTAGATAGAGGCAGATGTAATCCAAAAATCGAATATTTGCAGTGAAACGAGTGAAGTTCTCTCCTCCTGTCTGCCCTGAAGATAATTTACCCCTGTGTTCCATCTTGTTCTTTCCTGTTGTTCTTTGGCTGATGTTGCTAATGCACAGTAATTTGAGACATGCATACCTGAAACTTACTGAGGTGTTTGGCTATTCTTTTTTTCTTGAATGTGCGTTTATAAATTTTTTTTTTTTCCCCTTTTTGAACTATTACAGCAAGACAACCTAGGATCACAGTTTAGCCATATGAGTCTTGCCCGCCAGCCACCTGCTGATCCAGCTGAACCTCATACTGCTATGTTCCAGTCCACGGTAGTCCTCCAGCCCCCACAGCAGCCCGGTTATATCATCGCAGCTGCTCCACCATCTGGCCAACCGGTTTCTGCTCCAGGCTACTCGACATCTAGCCACCCTGTCAACCAGCAAGTACTCCAGCAGCAGGGATATATGCAGCAACCTGTGCCACAGGTACCATGGCTCTGTTTTCATCCTCCTGAAAACAGTATTTAAAAACTGATCATGCTGGTAGATTAATGAGCCTTTTATATGGTGTGGAGCTCCCTGTTCCAGTTACAGCTGTGTGCATTTATTCTGGGGTTGGGGTTTCCTGGCTTATGTGTTTTGAAATAAATGACTGCAGTTGACCTCAGGAGGAATAATTGTTCAGGTTTTCCTATTTACCTGTAGCTGGTAAAACTCATGTTCTCCATAGTCTTCTAGTGTCTCAGGCGTTTCTTTGTGGAAATTGGGAATTGTTACTTCTGCAGTGAAAGTAGAAGAAAGCGGATGTTAAAGAGGGAATAAAGAGAGAAAAGGAGGCTCAGGGGAGACCGTATCGCTCTCTACAACTACCTGAAACGAGGTGGTTCGTCTCTTCTCCCAAGTGACAAGTGATAGGACAAGAGGAAACAGCCTCAAGTTGTGCCAGGGGAGGTTTAGATTGGATATTAGGAAAAATGTCTTCCCCGAAAGGGTTGTCAAGCACTGGAACAGGAATGGCAGCAGTTGAGTAATCATCCCTGGAGATATTTAAAAGACGTGTAGATGTGACACTTGGGGACATGGTTTAGTGGTGAGCTTGGCAGTGCTAGGATAATGGTTGGACTTGATCTTAAAAGTCTTTTCCAACCCAACTGATTCTATGATTCTATGATTTTATGAATTTATGTAGCCTAAGTATTTTTTTAATTGCTAAACCATTTAACATTACTTGCACTTTTAATAAGCTTTGCATCCTTCTTTTATCGTGTGATTCTTTTTGCATTTAGAGGTCTGCCTTCTATAAACCTGCAGATAGTGAATCTCTTTAACTGTTCATTTCTAGATGCCAGCTTGTTATTGCACCCCCAGTCAGTATCCGCACTCCAGTCAACAATATCGGCCTGTTTCTGTCCATTACAACACACAGCAAAACCAACCATTGGCACAGCCTGGACAGCAGACAGGTTGGTTGAACTTCTTCAGTGTTTCATTAGAACACCTTGTGTGCCTTTTCTCCTGGTTTTGCTTTTTAAACTTGCTTTGCTGTATCATTTCAAGTAAAGTAGTTCACATAGGGATACAAAGTGAAACTAACCTATGGTGGAAACATTTGAGTTAATTGTTCATGAAACTTGAGATTTGAGCCGCTACTATGAGTGACTCATGCTGCATTTTTGATTATAGGGTAATATTTATTTTTTTTTTTAAGTCAGGAACTGAAGAATTTAAAAAAACTTGTAGCTTAGCTTAGTTACTAACTTTTTAGTAACTTGTGAAGTAAGATGAATTACTACCTTAGAATGATGTAACATTGCAGAGATGTACCTTAACTGAAAGTTCTAAACAAAAGATACTAATTTTAGATGTTGTGGCATGAAAAGACTGCTATGCAGAAGATAATCATAGGACAGAAAGACAAATTAAAACAGTATCACCATTAAAGTATCCAGGTATTGAATAGAATATATAATGAGACTTAAGTGGTTAGAATAAGTTTTCTGCTCCTCCTATTTTTAGTGAAGACTTTTTCTACTCTTTCAGTTACCTCTCTTATCAACATTATCAAGCTGTATTTCTGTCTCCGTTCTTTCTTAGTCTTTTTTTTCCTTAAAAATTTTAACTGTAACTACTATTGTTCTGATAATCTGTACTTAAAAATATTGTTATGACTTCTTCAGTAATATTTGGATTCCTGAACAAATTTACTTCTGGTTAATATCTTGACTCACAGTCAAAACTTTAAGAAGTAACCAGTGACGTTTGGAGGCAGAGATGCTTTAAAATCAGGCTTTTATACAACGTCTTAGTTGAATACGTTGGATGTGGTGTCCTTTTGAGCTTCCTTCAGGAAGAAGGAAAAAAATTCCTCCCCTTGCCCCCAACTATGTGTTGCTCTACAGCAATAGGATGAAAGATCAGCTTTTACAAATATTAACCGGCCTTCTTTGTAGCTGTTCTGTGAAGTAGCCTGTAAGAGGGATGACTCCTCCTCCTGCACTTCTAGGAAGTGGTCCAGCAGCAACACTTGAAGTTGTTATTCAGAGTTCAGTCCACAAATTTAGGCGGGATTATTTCATTGCAGAATCATCAAGCTGTAATGCCCATTTCTGGTAGGGCTGTCAGATGATTTTGTGATACTGTTAGTACCTGCTTACTGCAAAATACATCACCATTTTTCACTCTTCAGAAGTGAAAGTATGTTGACTTTTTTCAAAGGAAAACAAATCACTCGTTTTTGCAGCTTGTTTGATCCATGGGTGTTGAAGATGTGTTATCCAACTGTATTACACAACCTGCTTTCCTTCCTCAGAATTTTCAATGCCTACACTACTTAAAAGCAAAAAGTCTGAGGCTCAGCTGGGGTTGCTTCCCCATTTACGGGGGCACCCTATATGAACAGCACACACTCTAAATTGGAGAGAGCCCAGTGGGTGTGTGTAGCTAAACAAAACAATCTGAATTTGAAAGCATGAGGTGACGGTGCTTCAGCACCAAGATGCAAAGGGAGGAATCGGTTGCTATTAGGTAAGTAAGTTTCTCTTGTATGTTTTTAGCTCTTTACTTTTTAACTGAATTCCACTGCCTATAATGTGGACAGGGCGAAAAGCATCAGCAGCTAAAATTTCCCTCTGTGTCCTAGAAGAAATAAAACAAGAAAGCTGTGCGGACAGCTGCTTTACTACTCTGAGAACATCCATTGTACCTGTAACCTTGACATCAAAAGATGGTATTTAAGTAGTGAAGGGGTGGTCTAGCCAATAATTCCACTCAATCCTGTTTGGTTACTTGCTCTTCACTAGCACTAATGGTAGAGAGAAGTATTTTACCAGCAACTGCATCATCAGTGTTTAACTCCAAATCTCCAAATTGCTACCTAGCTATTGCTGGCTCTCAGGACAAATTTGAATCAGCAGTGTAGAGATGGAAGGTTCCACATCATGTGGATGTTCTGTAAACCATGTTCTGTAAACTGCTCATGAGATGGTGTATTTTGAAATTATCTCCTGTAGATTTATATTTAAACCTTAAATATTTGTATCAGGTTGACACAAAGCTACATCCAAAATGGTTGATGCTTATTAGCAGTGGCTGTTTTTGAGACAAAAGGCAGTATGTTACTTGGCTGATATAGCATGTGTCTGGTCTAAAATGAGAATTAACAAATCTTGTATTGAATGAAAGCTGTGGGTTTTATTCACTTTAGAAAGTGGTTACTAACTAGGAAATAACTTTCCAAACACAAATTTAGGTAAAAAATGACAGCTTCTGAGTGCGTGGCAACTGAAGCCACTTTTGGTTTAACGTTACGGCGTGGCCTGACTTTATTTATGAGCTGTTGGATTCGGGGCCGTAACACTGTCTGAGAGGTTTATATTTCTCACAGTGAACCGGTCTCTTTTTCAGCTGCTTCCTGGCTTCCTTTTTGAAGGGGTTTCAGGGTGAAATATTTGGGGGTTCACTTTAATAAAAATGCTTTGGTTGCCCGAAAGATGTTGGGAGAAGAAAACTGTCTTTAAGAAAAAGGCATTTCCAATTGCCATGATAACGAGGGCCCAGTTACCACAAAACCTAACTACAGGTTGATTAAAAATCTTATCTGAACTACAGTTACTGTAGGAACATCGGTTAAAGTTGAACTAGCTTCTGCTGCACAATGGCCAGCGATAAAACTATTAAAGTTGTAATAATCGCTGTAGTCGTAATCAAGCTGTGCTCCTAGTTCGTTACCAAGTGATTGTACTTGTCTTTCTGTTCTCGCGTGAAGGCTGCCTCTCGCTCCTCATGTGTTAGTCAGAAAATGTATTTCTGTATTCTGTAAGTTAACTTTTCTTACATTAACAGTGATTCTTTTTCATTATGTAAATATCAAGAAACGTGCTTTTTTTTATCTACTGTTTCAGAGTATTTCTGTGTAATGAGACAATCTGCTGTGGCAGGTGGGGTTTTCTGCTGAGAGCTGCGTTTCTGTCAGCCCACTCTCTATGCAGAGGTGAAACTGTGCAGCTAAAAATAGAGCATTCTTTGGAACGCTGTGGGGAACCTTCTTGGCAGTCAATTTATATTGTTCCAGTTCTCTCTGCTTGCACAATTATGTCTGTCTCTGGAAATGCCAGAAAAAGCTGAAAAATATTCATGGCTACACTGAAATTTCTGGGAAGTGAGGGGTTTGGATTGCAGATGTATTGGTCATATCTGTCACATACTGCAGCTTTGCATTCTACTGCTTTTTAAGTGCCATAGATCATTCTGTAATGAAGTACATTTAAGCATTTTGTTTATTACAGATATGGGATAGGTTTTTTGTGTACAGTTCAAATTTAAGAGTTACTGAAAATTCTAATTACTAATCCTGATTCAAGCATGCATGGTGCTGAAGTTTTGTATAGTACTTTGGAAATGTTTAGTGTGTTGTGTTTCTAATGAATAGCTCTCTTGGTTTTAACAAACTGAATCTTCTTCCCTTTAATTTTCTGAAGTAATATTTGACTGTATTAACAGTCTTTTTTTTAGTCTTCATTGTTTCAATTTCTATAGAGACAGTCAGCTGAGACTGTTAACTCTCAATGTTCATTGTACCCTGTATGTATGTGGTCAATGAACATCGGTGGGTTTTACAAAGAGTTTTGGGTTAACTGAATAATTATTTTCAAAATAGACCATGCAACTTTTTAAACACATTTTGAAAGATATCCAAGTGAGATTTTGCAGCTATATTTGCTTTATGATAGTTCCATACCAAGGTAGGGAGCATGGGGAATGTCAAGGTCAGTGGAATGCGAACGTGTCTAAGTTAAATACAGACTCTTCTTGCCGTCAGTGCGTCTTGACAAGCCCAGTTTTGTTGTTCGGGAGTGATAACTGGCTTTGTCTCAAACACTGGTAGTTACGTTTTTTTGCTGATGTGGTAAGTAGCACATACCTGTACAACAGAATACGACAAGAACAACTTTACTTGTGTTCTGCATGTGTGTTGATCATGGTAGCAGTCACCTATTATATGCTTCTAAAAAGGAAAAAAACCTCAGGAGTTAAGGTTGGACCTAATAAATGCACAGACTTCCTGTTTGGCACTCATGCTTGGTTCTTTTGGGGTTTTGGGTTTTTAGCATTTAGGAGGTGTTTAGGCCATTTTTGAAAGATAGCAGAGGATACCAGTTTAAGCAGCAAGAGTTGTAGAGGCACTGTAGAGGGGTGAATATGAACATCTTTCTTTTTTTTCCCCCCAAGATAACTTTGAATATAAAATGTCTTCCACTGTGTATGAACATGACTTTTACTTGGAAGATTTTTCTCCATTTCCAGTTGGTTTTACCATTATAGATTTCAGTAGAAATTGCCATTTTTAAAAAGCTTTGCACACATGCCTTAGACAGATTTTTCTTGAAGTATGGTTCAGTTTTGAATCATAATCAAGACGCTCTCATCCGTAGGGCACCTGAGGTGCCAGTAGAATTTAGCATAGCTAGAATTTCAAAAGTAAAGTACCTAGAATGGCCTTGTTCATAATAATAGGCAATTAATTGGTTTTGGTATTATCTAGCATGCTTTGTTCAAATGCTTTCAGCTTTCACCTGTCAGGTCAAGGTGTTCATGCATGTAACTCACTAGAGTGTGAATAAATATTGCAAGCATGCGAGAACAGCATTGCAAACAGTATGTATGGTATTTCATGCTAGATCCAAGTGAATAAATCTGTTAATTTTAATTGTGGCTTCTTTTTATACGCATGATAAGTTAACTCTTTTATGAAGTTGCCAGATTTAAAAAGCCATTGGAAAATGCTACACATAGATTTTTCACATAGGCAACTGTGTATAAAATGTGTTCATTATTTTAAAATCAGATTTAAATGTATAATTTCAGGTTACCAGGTTTTGCCTAACCAGCAGCAAAACTACCAGGGTTTAGTTGGAGTTCAGCAGTCTCAGAATCAAAATCTAGTCAGTGGCCAACACAACAACGTTGGGAATCAAATTCAAGGTGTGATTGTTCCATATCCTTCAGTGCCATCTTATCAGGTGAGTAATTTGTTCATAACTTGCCAATCATTCTGTGTGTGGAGGAGGATGATGATTATTATTGTTAATAATAAAGTGCATTGCTTCGTAAATGGTAGAAAGCTGCAAGCAGGTGTCAAAGGTGACTTTTGGGACAGAAGTTTAAAAACAAACGAACAAAAAAAACCCTGCAATTGAAGTGAGAAGAAAATCTGTCACAAGTGCACAAGTCCTAGTCCTGTGGAATGCCAAGTACTGTGTTAATTACAACTCAGAGAGTGGGGAAGAAGGAGCTCGTAAGATTTC